GGCGTTGTAATCACGGTTAACTTGGGTTAGTGGTGTGTAGCCAAAGTGACTGCCGAATAAGAGAAAAGGGGCATTAACTATGCGTCATTTTAAATATTTTACAATTCAGTAGAATGTGTTAAAATAAGTATTATTTCATTCATTATTTTAAATGCTTGTTTACTGTTTTGTTTTTTAATTTCGGGTTTGTACTGCTTTTTATTTCGTTGCTTTGATACACACTTTTTCTATACATTAACATATTTATACATGTTCTCTTTCTCATCACTATTTCATTCTTTCTTCTTCCTTTCCTGTCCTCTTTCTTTCACTCCATCTCTGTGTCTTCTACATCAAAGAAGACGTATATGTACATTTCGTCCGATTACGAGGAGCCATTACACAGCAGAAAAAAGAGACGGTAAGACGAGGCCATTATTGTCATTTCCAAAATAAAATTACCTTAATTTTTGTTTTGGACTCTGAAAATGCTCCTTGTTTCTTAAAACTAAAACGTAAATGCTCCATGACAATCATCAGACTCTTAGTTGTATACAAAGTTGAATTATTTCATTTGATTAACATTTTGAAATTCTTTTATCTCTAATATACAGATCCGCAGAGAAATGTTCCGAAAGGAAATACAGGCGTTTACCAGAGGAAGAAATAACTCGTGTTTTATACAGCGGGCAATATAGACAACCGGAAGTAGCTTCAGGAATCACCTATCCCGTCGGTCCTGTAGACACGGTAAATATAAATACATACTATTTTGACTTACATGTATATTTGTATATTAACCTTTAACTAACGGTATCTGCTTTGTTGAATTGAGATTATTTGGTTTGTTTTGTTTTCCTCAGTACTTGTTATGTTTTAATGCATGTTTTCATTTTTGTTTGCTTTTTTTCTTTTTTTTGTTTTTTGAATTGTCTCTCTATTGCCTTCATCCTAGCAGCCTTATTTCCTTTTTCCTTCTTTCTATCCACATTCGTGTCTATTACCCCACCTCATAGAAGACATACACGTCCGTTTCGACTGACCATAACAAACCTCGTAGAAGGAGGAGAAAACGGTAACTATCGAACACATTTTAATACAAAGTATTCAGTTTACATTTTATTCCTTTCATTATTATTTTTAAATTGAAATGCAAAACACGCCGTCAGAAGAATCAGAAATATAAATTGAAATATGAATGGTCGTAACAAGTGGCTTAATGAAAAAAACTATTCACATCACAGACTTATATCCAAGTCCGTGCTCAAATCACATCAAAAAGAACAGTTGGATTTATTCCAAATGTTTTATCCATGACACAAAGAACAAACGCTGAACTGTTGTGTAGTTAGAATTTACTTGAATCATACTTGACCATTTATTTCATATGTACAGCAAAAACAAACAAAGGACACCATCAAACATCCAAGATCAGGATAACCGAGTGACGTCACTTTTCCATGACTTAACGCTCACCGCTTGGGTAAGTTGTGTACCTTTTTGAGCATCTCTGATCTGAAATAGGCGGCAAGTTCTCATTAATCACCAGTAATTTATTGGTGACGTTGTGATGAAACCTTCAATGAATTCAGACTTCTGTTTCTTATGTAACCCGTTGTATGTTGTTTCAGTCAGAGTCATGAAACCGTACAGACCTTGTTTGTTGTGTTTTATGAACGTTCAACAGACTTAAGATTCTTTAAGGGTGTTGGAAGATTTGAAGTCATATCTACTCGTACTGACTTATATCGTTCATATAAATACTGAATTTGTAATTATCTTCATTCAACATTTATTTCTTATTTTTCTTTCCTTCCCACTATGAAAATCTGATGTCCTACATCACAGGAGACGCACAGGTCCGTTTTGTCTGACCAAAAGAAACCTCGTAAGAAAACAAGAAGGAAACGGTAATACTTGAATCCTGTGGTTGCTGGCGATACAATTTTTTTCATTTTTTGTTGAAAAATCAGTCAGAAACAAGTTAAACTGCACTATTTAATCGTACGAAGAAAAAATATGTGTACATAGGTACATATTTCAAATGTCATATTTACCAAATGGTCTAATGCTACATTGTGTATGGGCATAACTGAAATGCTTGTCATATTAAAAAAAACTCAGTTTTAAAACGGGGAATAATTCTACAGATACACGACATTAAAATGTGTTATCCTATTTGTAAAGAATCAACATTGCATTGTTTTGTATCGAGGATTTGAAAGATAGGTGATCATTTATTTTACCTGTACTTCACAGTAAAACTAAGAAAGGAAAACTTTCACCAGGCCAAGATAGTGAAGTGACGTCACAGCTGGGAGTTACCACCAACTGCAGGGTACGTTTTTGTTAATTAATTTATGAAGTTCCTATCTGAATCAGATGGTGATTTCCATTTCCACATCTGGAGCGAGTTTTGATTATTTAAGCAAAATTACAGAAATGTATTTCAGATTCTATGTTTCTTCAGATATTTTTTTGTGTATTTTAGCATTTTAATCATTAAAACATTTTCTTTGTTTCATTTTCAGGAGGGATCTATAATGGCTGATATTAACTTCCTGACCTATAAATTAAGTCACCTATCACTGGACACAAATAAAATGGACCAAAAATCGAGAGGAATCAAACGAAAACTAGATGATGTTCTGCGTGAGGAAATGGTCAGCTGTGATGATGACACACTGGGTCTAAAGATGAGAAAACTGAGCATCATTTAATGAATTAATTAACAATAAACTTTACTATGGGATTAATTTTGGATGTCGGAAATCTAGACAAGATTTCTAGATGTGGGAACACCAATTTACACTGCCAATACCTTTTTATATTTGTATGTTTTTCTTGTTGTTTTTCTTTTTATTTTGTTATTTACAAAAGATAATTTGCTATGATCTTTGATATTTAATTTTGGATATTTATGTATAATAAAATTTTGAAAGCTATACATATACAAAAAATCTTGTTTTATCTTTAGTTTAGCAATAAGTTTCTATTAGTAAACGACTTTATGATACCTCTTTGTCAGTGTTAAGCCCGCCATTTAGTTTGTGAGTTCCCTTGACCTCATACTCTTTTTGTAAGCCTTACTTTCATGCTGATTGGCTGAACGTCTTTTGTCTAGTCTGCAGATATGAATAAAGATAATTATCGCCATATTTTTTTCTTTTACTTTCAAATGACACCCCTATGTTCGAGCCTCCGAAACATTGATACGGTATTATTTTCAAAATTTATGCCCAACTGAGGATCCTTGTAATATATGTGCCGGATTGTCATAATATTCATGTAAACAGAACAGGACAAATGAACACAATTTCAGTTTAAAAGACGGCCACGATAGACAACATTTGATATAAAGTTGTTAAAAAGATTAAATTAAAATATCCATGCCTAAATTTCAACGTCTATTCCAACCGCTTTCTTGCTGGAGCAGAGCGAATTTAAGTCCTTCGTGTAAGGTGAGGTAATTCGGTTTGCTGTCTTCGACCCATTAACAATTTTGCTGATGTTGATTCGAATTTCCTGTTCTTTAACTGGCACCTATTTTAGGTTTCCTGTGATAACCTCTTAAGACCCACAGGTTCGTATCGTATCTGAACAAGTGAATACAAATTGAGGTATGGTAGAGCCAGATAAGGAATCAAACTGCATCATAAAGCTTTCTTCCTTCTAGGACAACCCTGCGTAACCGAAAGAAATGTCAAACTCGAGGTAGAGATGCGTACCATCCCTGTAATTCAATACATTTCGTGTTTTGTTTATATATATATATATATATACATATATATATATGATAATTTCAAAGAGAACGCCAAGTACAAGTAATCGTGGCATAGGGGACTAAAAATCCATCGAAAGTGTCTACCACCTACAATCTACGAGATTGTACGAAAGACGCACAAGTGAATAGCTCATTCCATTACAATCAAGAATTAAGTACAGTGGATTATTCTTAATTCCGTGTTTGATACGAGATCCTTTAATTTCCAGTTTAAAAATGGACAAATATTGGCCACAGTTGTTAACCACCATCAGAGAGTTAAATAAAATACACGTCTTTACCACAGTAAGATACATGATAATACTATGCTGGATGATAACTAATATAGGAGTGTTTGGTGTAGGTCAGATTTGTGCCTGTCAGGTTCAGTAAATTCTGCGGGCGTAATTGAAGGATGAAATTTAAGTATTTCTAACACGGTTAACTTTAAACGCTATTATGACCATCTTGGAATTCAGACGGACACAAATAATAAAATAATGTCACCATCAAAGGAAATCACATTCAAAATGGCGGTCGTTTGCGGTCATCTTGAGTTTCGACTTGCTCACCCCACTCCCCTTACCTTAATTAGTAATTCAAATGTTAATAAACCGAGAGAAGTTTAAAATTCGTTTAGTTGAAAAAAAAACCGTTTTGTCTAAAAGTGAATATCATGTATGAGTGGCGCATATACGTCTCTGCATCTATTTATGTACAGTCTGATCTGATCGTGTTTGAAACAGGCATTCTGCGAATGCTGGTATTAGTGCGTCGAGTATGAATACAAATAATGTGCATAATGCATATATATGGTGCGTGGTATTCATATTAACTTGTGAACATGTACAGAAATATTTGTGACGTACATGACATATGATGCGCCGTCTGATTGCATTGCAAAATACCTTCTCAATTTATGTCAATTTCAAACTTGAAAAGTTCTTCAACAATTGAAAAGGCTATATTTTTCCTATAAGGGAAAGTGGAACATTAAAAAGTAGATTTGTCAAATATAAATTAGTTATGTGTAGATATATTTCTTTTCGTTTCAGTTAGTTTATATTTACTGCGAGGAAAACAATATTTGTTTGTATAATTTCAAAATGTGAATAACAATTGCAGTACATTTTCAAAACTTTGATTTTGTAAAGCGAACCCACATTGCTGCTGATCTGATTTAGAGAAACCATGTCTAAGGGGAGTAACTCTTGCACGCACTGTGCATTCGTGGTCTTGACAATCAGATGTAAACAACATGGCGGATACAACGCAAACTGGTGTTACGGATGATATCGCTGATGCTGCGAAGGCTGAAATAGAGAAGGCTATGAGCTTGGCTCTAAAGGGTGTTACGAATTTAGGGGATGATAAATTAGAGACAGAAAAATCCGGGACGGAAAATGAAGAAGACACGTCTAGAGTAGTGAAAGAAGAGGTCGTTTACATGGAACCTATCCAAGATCCATATGGCAAAGCAATAAAGTACCTGGAGCAACACAATATTCTGCAGTTATTTCAGGTAGTCTCTCAGCAAATTTATCCCAAATAGATTAAAACTCTTCAGTATGTAGTATATCATTTTCATATGATTTAGATCCCGAGCACACAAATTTTTAGATCTACATCAAAGTGCATCTACAGTACATTCAAATATGATCAGAAGAAATTTAAAGTTGTTTGTTACTGTAATAGTTTCAAAAATACTTTCAACATACATTTATTCAACAAGCACGATATACCGACACATAGCTGAGTGTCTTACAAGAGACGTCCAGTTTCATTCAATATTGTATGCAATATTTATGAAATCATTATCTGTAGAATCTATTTCAAGTTTCTTATACATGTACACTAGAATCGAAACTAGCTAATTAGCTTTACTATATATTTTTTTTTGCCCAGTTTATGATACTGTTCTTTTGTGATTATGATTTTTATTCTATAATTTTATTTATAAAATTTGATTTGATTTTTGATATTCTGTTCGTTGCAGTCTCTAACAACAAACATTGTGTACAGAAAGCCTGATGATCCATTAGCTTACATGATGAAAGAAGTGAAGAAAATGCAGAAACAAAAACAGGAAACATAAACTATCATCAATAATTGGAAATCTCAAGCTGAAAAAAAAAAAAAAAATAAAAATAGTATCATGACAAAGAAACTGCCAAAATGGACCGAAGATTAAGTGAGATAACCGTATATCTCAGTGTTTATAAAGCATTTCATGTCTTTCAATGTGTGTATACTAGTTGCAACAGCAGTATTAACTGAATTTATGTGGCAATGACAGAAGAAAGATCCTGAAGACAGCTCTCAGGAAAAGGATAAGGACATAATGTGTGTGTGGATGTGTGGGTGTACATTATATGTATTATTTATTGTAGTGTATATAAAATAGAATGTATTTCATAGTTTCCATATAACTGCATGCATAGTTTCAAAGGTATATAGCGATATTCTGATATTTTCATGAGTATAAAACTCAAATTAAAACTATTGTGATTCAACCATACCAGTGAGATAGTTTTGTTATTGAATGGAAAAAATATTAAAATTATATAACATACATTTTAAATGTATCTAAAATGACAAAGATTTTACTTCATAAATATATTTGAGGTATTGAATAAGCTTACTGAAGATAATTCTGAATGATTTCTGATATCAGGTAAAAACTGAACTACTTACAAGATGTCATGTATCATGAAGCTTTTAACTGATGAAAAGTCTAAAAGTAAAATATTTATCACTTAATATACCTTACTGTCATGATCTTCACTGCAGTTTTCATTCATCAACTAGATCATTCTGAAAAAATGTCACCAAAAATTGCGTATGAAATAAATCTAGTATATATCATTAAATGTCTCTGGTCTAAAATTTTCCGTTGGCATATATATTACAGGCAGTCTTTCAGACATTGAAAAGAGATCTCCAGTTACAAAAAGAATAGATTTATACAAATTTCTCCTCTTAATGAAATTTGCCTAAACAGGTGAACTGTGGCTAGAGACACCACTCCAGAGAATCCTCCTAAATTAATTTACATTGTAAAAACTAGTAATGGTATTGCCATTTCTTGCAGGCCCTGTAGTTTATATACCAGGTTCATATACATTTTCTGTACATAAGATTATATTGTATGTAAATGTCTCTAAAATTTAACAACAAACATTTAATGTAATGTTTTATTTCTTGGTGTAAGTATTTTTAAGATTGTGATGGGATATGATTTGATTAATTTTTAATATATTATCACTAATTGACAAGTGGTGAAAGTTAATTTGCATTTGATTTTGTATAATGTCAGAAAAAATCATATTTATTCATTTATTTTTTTGAAATGATGAGTCACCAAAAAATATTAAAGACAATTGTGCAAATGATTTAAAGTATTTTTATCATTTTTAGAAATGAATAAAAAAAGTTATCATAATTGCATCAACAGCAGTAATGTGTAGGATGTGGTCTCAAAGAATGACATAGCAGTGTTCCAATATTGTTCAACGAAGATTGAAATGGATCTCTTTTGAAGTTCATACCAAGACTTACAAACCTCAAAATTACATTTCCCAGTGATCTCTGAGGGGGTCATGAAATTGCCCAAGTACAGCACTGAATTGGTACACCGCTATTTTTGCCATTTTAGCAAACTACAGTACATAAACTAACTTATTAGTAAGAACATTTTTCATATAAAAAAGAGAGATCACAACATACTCTAAATGCTAGTTAGTGTATAAAGCAGGATGACAGGGAGACATTTCCAATTTACCACTCCATCAATCAAGAAATATACATTAATATTTACAAAAATATCCAGCCCATTATCCAATGAATTCACCCATGTAATAGCTTAGCATATATTTGCAAATATATTTGTTATATTTTGAAAACGATGCAACAAAATGGTAAGTTGCACCCATTTCCTTTTCTCCTCCACATCTTGACTTACACTTAGACTATTGAAATGTAAATCTTTTTGATTAAAACAAAACTGGCAACAAGTTTGTAACTAAATTTAGAATTTAACAGTACAAAGATTATCCTCCTTGGTTATCTTGATAAGGTTTTGGTGTGGACAAGGCCAACAAAGGGCAATAACTCTGTATGCTTTGCCCACGTCAGCAATAGCAAATCCCCAATATTAAGATATATCTACATTACAAAGTTTTGATGGCTCTAAATAATAATGTCACAGATGTATGGACAAACACACACACATAATAAGCCCACCAACATATAGTGTTATTTAGTAGTATTACAAACAAATTATATATTGCTGTCCTTCAATATGCCCACCCCAGACTTCGAGTCAGAATTTGTAGGTTAATCCCCTGTTTAGTGTAGGAAGCCTATGGTATAATTTTCGATTTGCTGGTTTTAAGTATTTAAAATATTTCACCAGTAAGAGTAAGGCTATATTCATATGAGGAAACTTTTTTCTGGCTGAAAATTTGCCTGATTTCTGAAGTTATAAAATTACAAATAGTGATTGTCAGCCCAATCACACAGAATTCCTTTATTACATTGTGTCAGCAGAAGGGATGAGCAACAGTTTAGTCTGTTGTATATTTTTGTATAAGTGAAACAATGCCAAGGAGTTCAAAGATAGGATGAAGTTATGAAAGGGGTTTAGCTTTGTTTGTGATTTTATGTGTGTATTATTATGATAAAAAAACAAAAATAAAAACGGAAAAGTTTTCATTTTATATTTATTGACTAACAATTATATGCTGAAGTATTAACACCATTACAGGTAACGCATAGATGATTCCTCACACAGATACTGTACTACAGTCTGGTACCACAATTAGGCACCAAACCACATACTGTACCACAGTCTGGTTACACAAATAGGCACCAAACCACATACTGCACTACAGTCTGGTACCACAATTAGGCACCAAACCACATACTGTACTACAGTCTGGTACCACAATTAGGCACCAAACAACATACTGTACCACAGTCTGGTACCACAAATAGGCACCAAACAACATACTGTACTACAGTCTGGTACCACAAATAGGCACCAAACCACATACTGTACCACAGCCTGGTACCACAAATAGGCACCAAACCACATACTGTACCAGTCTGGTTACACAAATAGGCACCAAACCACTTACTGTACCACAGTCTGGTACCACAAATAGGCACCAAACAACATACTGTACTACAGTCTGGTACCACAAATAGGCACCAAACCATATACTGTACCACAGTCTAGTACCACAATTAGGCACCAAACCACATACTGTACTACAGTCTGGTACCACAAATAGGCACCAAACCACGTACTGTACCACAGTCTGGTACCACAAATAGGCACCAAACCACATACTGTACCAGTCTGGTTACACAAATAGGCACCAAACCACTTACTGTACCACAGTCTGGTACCACAAATAGGCACCAAACAACATACTGTACCACAGTCTGGTACCACAAATAGGCACCAAACCATATACTGTACCACAGTCTAGTACCACAATTAGGCACCAAACCACATACTGTACTACAGTCTGGTACCACAAATAGGCACCAAACCACATACTGTACCACAGTCTGGTACCACAAATAGGCACCAAACCACATACTGTACCACAGTCTGGTACCACAATTAGGCACCAAACCACATACTGTACCACAGCACCAAACCACCACGTACTGTACCACAGTCTGGTACCACAAATAACCAAACCACATACTGCACCAAACCACATACTGTACTACAGTCTGGTACCACAAATAGGCACCAAACCACTTACTGTACCACAGTCTGGTACCACAAATAGGCACCAAACCACATACTGTACTACAGTCTGGTACCACAAATAGGCACCAAACCACATACTGTACCACAGTCTGGTACCACAAATAGGCACCAAACCATATACTGTACCACAGTCTGGTACCACAAATAGGCACCACACCACATACAGTATCAAATGCCTATTAATGTGTACATATCCAACACCCACTTCCAGCTGATGGTATTCTCAAACTAAGATTTTTGACACGTTGTGACGAGTAGTTTGGAGACATGATCTATTGAATTAACTATTATTTTAGGACAACGCTGACTGTTCAGCACAGGTATATATGTTATGGCAGTTGTTGGTGTTAAGTGGGTAGAACATATACAGTGTTATACATCTAATGAGGAAACAAAACATCAATGGAAATAAATGTCTTGATGGAAATCAAGTTCTGACCATAAACTACCGGTACTAGTTCATAATTATTAGCTGGTCTGAAAACATTTAAGAAACAGCAGATATCACATCCAAGGGGAAAATATTGATAGTTTTGACACCACAACAAAAAAATAAAATAACGATGACCACATCAATACTTGTTATAATTTTGTCATGTTGTCATTATGTGTATAAACTTTACAAAACATGCCAGTAATTATCATCAATGCAAAAAATAGTTATTTTGTACAATTTATGAAATATACATGAAGAATGTAGTCATATCTGTGACAAAATAAACATCTGCATTATGACCAGTGTAATACTCCAGTGTATAAAATCTACAAAATATTTCTTCTATCATCCTCTATATACCACATACCGTTGTCAAACCCTCGTCACATACATCAGCATGGCATTCATTGAAAACAATCTGAGAACACACTTCATCATAAGGGAATGTTTTTGTCTTAAAACAAAACAGCTGCTTCATAAAACTTGCTGACATCGTCCCCAGCTTGATCTATAGCCAAGGAGATCAAAGACTGATTTTACAATGATGAAAGTATGGACGGATTTTACTATATGTATGCACTTTGAGGTCAGTTCCATTAATGAAGCACTTATGGCTTTGGACAAAGAGATATTACCCAAACTGTTTTTGTGGAAGATGCATGTATAAAACAAAATAATGGTGCTGATGAGAAAAGCATACCCAGGAGGCTCTCAACTTTTGGCTCCCAATAAGTAATTACCTATTGTCTTGCTGGTTACATTGTAACATCGGATCAGAACACAATTTTACATATCTTGAGAAATCAAAAACCCAAACAAGACACTCCCTATAGTCTCCTGAAAGTCCTCTTCATTTGTCTATGAAACCAACGTTGGTGATTTGTCAAGCAGCATGACCATCAACAGAAGGAAAATTAGAGGTAGAGCAAGCATTTACAGTGAAAATGTCTTGCATAATATCGATTACTATCTAAACCTTCCAGAGGGCTGATCATGGTTTCTAATGATCACTCCATCCATTTAAGTGTTTAAAGATATGAATTGTTCACCATAAAAAAATCACAATAAAGTGTATTTTATGAGACCTGAACATTTGAATCCCATGAACCCATAACTGGACACAAGTAGCAGCTGATCTATAGAAAATGAATATTTAGTTCCCCGTCACCCATCCCTACCCTCACCATGTTGTATAGTAACGAGTGATATATTCTTCAGCAGACCTAGATTTGGTCAACAAGAAGGCAGAAGGTTTTGGATTTAGTCAACTTATTGAAACAGGTGAGCTAGTTAGTGTATATAGATGATAATAAATTAATCATGCACAGTTTTCTCCAAATGCTGTCACAAGAAATTTTTGATCATGCGCACTTGAATGAAATCTTACAGCTGGTGACCTGTAGATTTCATCAGCATTCCATAATGAATTGTTTTCTTTCTCAAGCAAATTATGAAAATAATACAGTGATACTATTTTATAGCTACAATTAATTATAACCTACCAGCATTATAATACTAATATATACACCTATTGACATAACTGTATTGCAATATTACAATGCTCAATGTCTATACATTATGATGTGAAAGTTATGTAAATATAAAGTTTATCAAAATGCTACACTATTTTCAGTCACCATTGGTTAAATGATATACCAGAAACACAGTACTCTATTATAGCAGGGACATGTCCCTTATTGTAGCTTAAAAGTAAAAAGTTGCTAAACATTACAAGAATACTATTTCATGGATAGTCTAAATCTATGTTATAAAACAGGCACATAAAAGTTAGACAGATTTTAAGAGTTTTAAACCAAAAAACTCAGAAAATCTTATCAGTGTATACCAGTATACACATGGAAATGTACCTATCATAGGAATGTGTATAATTTCATATAAAACAAGAGACCAAAATGGCCTGTATGGCTCAGATCTATTCAATAAAATATTTTATATAAACATGTATATAACTTGTAAATTCTGAAGTATTTAATAAATTTCTGTCATCTACAGTGTAGATAATACATACTGATCATGAACCATCACATACACAATTCTTTATAAACAACATGAGATCTAGAGAGCCAGCTTCACTCACCTAGCTATTACCTCAAATGGCAAAATAGTCCCAGTTAATGTCATAAGTATGGTTATGGTAAGTATTTCCTGATAAATAAGACTCAATAATTAATCAAAATGTAGTAATTAATACATTGTTTCATAGTAAATGGTTTAAGTCTGTATATTTTAACCTTTTTCATGTTAAGACCATGGAGACAAAGTTAGATAATCTTTGTAGCACGACAGCGTTGATCTCCCCATGTTGCAACTTGGGGATAGGGCCAGCCCAAATACCAAATCTTTTAGTATGTTTGTGTTCTTTACTTGATGCTCAGCCATTACATGGCATGTTAATAAGTTGAGAAGGAAAGGCCAAGTTATCATGCAGTGGCTTGCAAAGACCAAAATCAATAACCAAATCAGCACCCTGGGGCTGGACAATTCTGGATTCCCACCACCTAAATAAGCTTCTTACATTACATAATTAAAATTCCTTTGAATCAGTTCAGTCAAATCAAAAATTTCTTGTCCTGCCCTTAAACTCTACATGAAGTCAAGCTATATGTACAACTTAAATTCATGATGTTGGTCCAGAAAAGCAGATTTAAGAAATTATTGACAGATGGCCACACACCACAAAACAACATGCAACCGCATGTTTGTCCTTCGGACACAGAGAAGCAAAAGGTTCAGTATGTGACCTATACCTTTATATATGTAAACTGATTTAAAACACAATAACAATGACATAAACATTTTGGGAAATATCGGAGAGCCACAATAATTCCTAATTTGTATATTATATGTTGGTGCCACACTATCAGTTGATACTAGAGATCTGATTTTACATTTCCTGTAGAAAACACATTATCTTACATACAACAATAAATCATTCATAAAGTGGTATTATGTTAATTATATTCGTGGGTCAGAGGTCATACAATCAAGTACTGGATAAAATAAAATCTCAAAACAGGTAAACAATGGACAGAAAGCAGGTCCTGTAAACAACTATCACATGTTCGGATGCTGCTATGTGACATTAAAATGTTCACACAATAACTTCCAGTAAATTTAACAAAATGAACAAATGCTACAAAATGTACATTGTGTATATATTGTGCAGTTTATACTTTGTCTAGATTCTGAGACCTATTGAAATTTTGTGGTCTCCAAAATGTTTATAACAAATGATCGCTCTATAATTTTTCGTGAAAACCAACCAAATTATGCAGTCCCATTAGAGGTGTGTGTATCAGGTTTAGACAAAGTATATTGTAATGAAATCATCTGGACGGATATCGAAAAAAAAAAAAATTTGAGGCACAAACATTAGAATTTATAGCATAAATCAGACAACTGTATGCAACAAGATATTCAAACTAAACAAGTCTTAAGAGTTCCTTTGAGGATACCACTCATCAACATGTTTGTGTAGAATGTGACGACTTTAGCTGCTATTTCTCTAGGTATCACGTTACAGAAGAAAGTGATACTGTCTATTCTGAGCAGATTCATTTGAAAGAGAAGAAAAGAGTTAATTTATCAGCATATGATAGCAAATGTGTATCTCACTGGAACACAATCCTGACAGTATGTTGGAATTCTACTGTTCTTAGTGATGGGTTAAGGAGTCTGGAATCCGTGAATTCTTACGTCCATGGTAACCAGGTGAGCAGTGTTGAATCCAGTAATCTTCCAGGTTCTAACTAACCAGGACAGTAGGTGGTAACCAGGTAACTACATAATGCAAGGTCCTTGGTAACCAAGTAATACGGGGTCCTTAGTAACCAGGTATAATGCAGGGTCCTTGGTAACCAGGTTAGCAGTGTGGAGTCCAGGAAACACATTTAGATGCATTTCCACACAAAAATACTGTAAAAAGGTAGAAAGATTTTTGTTAAATACTGCTTCAATTTGTCAAGTTTTAAATATTGACACTTTACAAGCTGGTTAAGAATGAGTAATAACAGGCAAGTCAATCAAGGTAAGTAGATAATAGACATGATCTGACAATGATTCTAAAAAATAAAGCTTTTAATTCCTTTAACAGTGTTTACAAAGTCACCTTTCATAAATTTGGCCCCCATCTCCTCTCTACAATAGAGTCTGCCAGCACCCTTCATTTATTAAGTAACTCAAGAATGATGGTAACATTTCATGTAATCTGTAAGCAGGAAGCTATCTAAACCATCTCCTTAATCTGGAGATATCCCACAACAACTTATATTATAATAACATATATATAACAATATTTATCCAATAAAAAATGCAAACCAGGAAAACATAATAAAATGTTGTAGTTATTAATGCTACCAAGTTTGAAAGTATATCACCAAGGGTGGAGAACTCCACATTTAAATTAGTTACAACAAATGTACACACAGACAGACAATAGCCCATACCAAGGGTGGAGAACTCCACATTTAAATTAGTTACAACAAATGTACACACAGACAGACAATAGCCCATACCAAGGGTGGAGAACTCCACATTTAAATTAGTTTACAACAAATGTACACACAGACAGATAATAGCCCATACCAAGGGTGGAGAACTCCACATTTAAATTAGTTTACAACAAATGTACACACAGACAGACAATAGCCTATACCAAGGGTGGAGAACTCCACATTTAAATTAGTTTACAACAAATGTACACGCAGACAGACAATAGCCTATCATAATGTATTCTGTCAGAAAATTTTCAACAGGCATTAAAACTGTATGTAGCTACAAACCAGACATTTTCCTGATGATTTTGACCTAGATATGTTTCCATCAAATTAAGAAGGAATCTTTTCCTCTTTTTTTTATAAAGTCCTATAAAAGGTTACCCAGTTTCACCAATAGATGTTGCAAACTCTGGAATGGTGAAGTTATAATCCCTTTAGAAGTACCATAGAAAGGGTTCTTTGGAAAATTCCTGTTTCCCCAATTAGACATCAACCTTTTGCTCACAGAATAGTGAATCGCTTTTGGGGATGCCCCACACAGAAACACAAGACATTAAGGCTAATGGTGAAATTATTTATTGTTATCATTATTTACCTGCAGTCATCACCACCTGTACTGATGAGATACTTGTCATCGAACATAAACCTTACATTGGTCACATGGGCAGAATGACCAACAAAAGACTTAGGCTGCACCTGGAAAACATTAAACCAAGATTAACAGAATGACCAGCTGGTGTTGGTCACTTCATCCCTCCATATAGGATCCTATTAGTTTCAGCCATCAGAATAATTTTACTACAGAACAAGTACTAATTGTAATTGGGACCATTACAAATGTCCCCCTAACAACCCCTTCAGCAGTAAATGATCACAATAATCAGACCTGCAGTCATGCCAAACATGGACTAAGCCATTTTGCTCCTAGTGCCACCTTATACATATATACCAATTTTCACGAAAATCAGACAATATCTAAAATTTGGCCAAATTTTGACCACAGCTGACCCCTCAGATGACCGATTGGAAAAATTCAAGTGGCCTGCACTCCGCCTCGCATGTATGAATATGTGTGTAAAGTTTTGTTAAATTCCATGCAATAGCTTTTTAGAAATGCGTCAGAAACCTCGCTGGTGGAAGAAAGTGGAAGAAATAAGAATAATATAAATAATAATGATAAGAAGAAGAAGAAACAGAGCAAACACAATATGTCCCCCCACTTCGTTTGCGGGACATAATAAGATGAAAGTTTAACTGTGACAATTTTTCTATATTCTATAGACCTGTCATTCATCCAAGTAGACACCATACTTACTTGTTTGTCTGGGCACGGGAACTCAAACAATTTGACAAAACCAAAGTCATCCCCAGTAGCAAGGGCGTTACCAAGGTGAGACAAGTGAGTACAGTTGATATCACCACCACTTGAGTCCTTTGGCCAGATTCCTAGTACTTCATCCCCTAGAGTACTGAAATGTCCAACACATACATCAGTGATGCTAAACAAAAATATCCAGTTTCATTTCCAAGCATGCTTATATAGTTATAATGATCAATTAAATTGAACACTTCTGTTTATGTATCATTGAATGATATTATCAAACATGTTCCTTAAATTCTTAATTTCATAAAACGTTAACTGAATTTTTCAAAATAAATTTTACAAACATGAAATTTGTTCTGTGTTCTCCAAGACAAAAGTGCCTCATTAGTCACATCAACTGTACTGATAAGTAATGAGAAAGAAAATTTGATAATGTAAACATGTTTCCTGGTATATCATCATACAAAATGATACACTCCCTAAAACTTTCTGCTTCTTCAACTACACTTAGATTTTGATCTCTCTGTAATCACCTTGTCCAAGATGCCCATGTGATGTTATCTGTGATTTTCTGGTCACTCACTAAAACTCCATTGGGTACTTTAAACACCTGGTGAATGTAGGCTCCTGTGCTCACCTGTAAATATTTATATAATTCAGTTAATGTATTTGGTATATGAACATAAATCTCAACTGAGTGCAAAGGCAGGTTTACATTAGTAACTCTTTCTCATCTGAAGAGTATCTCAGCTTACAAATAAATTTAGAAAGTTTAAGAGTAGCATGGTTAGAAGTAATTTGTTACATACATAATTTACAAAGGGTTTGTTATTTTTACTTATCTGAACACTTAACTGGTGATCATACAAGCCAGGGTAAAATTTATATTTCCTATACCTGTGTGGGATAAACAGGAATCCCCCACAATAATGAAGAAGTTTAAAGTATAAACATCCTTGATTGTTCAAAAGTATTTTCTTAGTACATATCTAACTTATTTATAAAAACAATTCTAACCATTTGTAGGGTTACCTACCCTGATGTACTGACTGTCCGCAGAGAAGTCCATCTGGATGACAAAAGTAGGAATACCTTTGCAGTAACCTGCCCGCTGGAGTGACTGCCCTTTGCTGATGTCATAGAAATCAACACAACAATCCTCTGACCCAACAGCAAGTATCTTACCATCAGGACTGAACCTGTATTTAACATAAACTGCACATTAAGTACTTGTGTAAACATTAGATATCAATTATCAAATAAAATGAAAGATGAAAGTATAGTGCAGTAGGTTCCATTTCCAGTGCAATTTTACATTTCATAAAAGTATTATGTCTATCAAAATGACAGACAGAAAATGATCCATTCTAAAAAGTCAATGTCTTTGTGTGTGGGTGGGTGGGGTTCTCACAACAATTTTGACATCTAGCAGAACAGTAAGAACAAGGCACCAAGAAAAGCCAGCATAAATCAACAAAGTCAAAGAACCATAAATAAAGTAAGGTAAGATAAATGAAGCTTGGGACAAACTGAACAACATAAACTAAGGGCAATTATTCTGTGCAGTTATCCATATTTTCACTTTTCTGGTACATAAATCTGTTACAGACAATCAAGCTGCTTGAGTGCTTCGTACTTCCCTCAACTTTTCATGACAGTTGCAAAAAGTAAAACAAAATAGTTGTTTCTGTACCTGATATCGTTGATGGCACCAGCTCGATCTCGGCGTTTTCCCCACAGCTTTAAGCCATTGGTGCTCAACACCACAAACTCGCCATTTTTGAGGCCCACAGCTAACATCTCACCATCTACACTAAATGCTGCTGATCTGGCTGCCCCAATGTCAAGTTTCGCAATCGTAGTCTAAAAACACCAAGAGAAGGTTGAAGGAAAACGATAGTCATGACATGCACTGAAGACCAATAAAGCATTTATCTCATTGTTTATCACTTATATTCCAGGTATATTATGAAGAATCTGACAGAAAAGTTGAAATACAACCATAATCTGAATGCTTTTTAAATCAACTATTTCTCAGTCACCTTCTTCTTCAAGGCACTCTGATGTTTCAGATCACATTGATAAAATTTCAGACATGCAATGACAACATGTCTCTATGCAGAAAAGCAAGAGGACAATAATCACTAACACACAAGGAAATAAGTTCTCAACAGTTTAACGTCGATGACAATTACCTGGAAACTGGATCAGATAGATCGATCAGATAAAGTTATGACAGTTCTCACCTTTTTTCCTAGGTCCCAGTATCTGACTGTTCCGTCAAAGCTGGCTGTGACAAAACAGGGGCTGGAAGGGTGAACATCGAGACCCCAAACCTCCCCCTCTGCATGGCCCCCGACCAACACTGAGGTCGTTCCACTCTTCTCTGCTACCTCCACCACAGTGTTTCCCTTTGTCCCCACTAGGATTTTACCCTGTACATTAAATCGTAGAACGATGAAACATGAACTGAAGCAAATGGAGATTTGTCAATGATCATATCTTTCAAAGATATGAAATTTGTAAAGCAATGACAGTGTTGGTCCTACTTTTGTCCTCTATGCCATAATATAATGGTAAAAAAAAATCTTTTGTTTCAGACCTCAAAAGGCTGGAACACAACTGAAAAGGATACTACTTATGAACGTGCATGTACAATTTCATGAAAATCTGATAGTATGACAAACAAATCATTATTTAAGGCAGTGGCATAATCATTGGATGAATAATTTTATAAAATGATCTGATTCTCTGAGCATGACAAGTCTCCAAATTAGTCACTGTTAGTTTATGAATAAAGTGATATAATCTTTTATCCAAGCAAGGGTTAAATATCTACAATTATTTTGGAAAAATCTGGTTGTACTTGTAAATTTACCTTTGTTCTACACACAGACTTCACAACTGAAGGCTTTAAGTTGCCTTCCTGCACCGAGAAGGCACGGCATCTCTTCATCTCCTGGTCCCACAGTTTTACAGGCCCACTTTCTCTTGATCTACTTCAATAAAACAGCAAAATAAAACTATGCACCATTACCGGTGCCTCAATAGCAAATTCTGTATATCATATTTTTCCAGATTAACTGACACAATCTTATAAAACTATGCACCATTACCGGTGCCTCAATAGCAAATTCTGTATATCATATTTTTCCAGATTAACTGACACAATCTTATAAAACTATGCACCATTACCGGTGCCTCAATAGCAAATTCTGTATATTATATTTTTCCAGATTAACTGACACAATCTTAACAGGCTTTCCACAACCATAATAACTGTGTCTGAAACACCCACTGTATCCTACTATATGATTTACTTTTTAAACTGAAGTGGGCACATCTCTATATTGTACTGGACAATCTTAAAAAGATCTGTTGTAAACTGAGTGAATGCATAGTGGGACAAAATTATTTTACAGACAGACAGACGGACAAGGACAATGTGATTCCAGTATACACCCTACAAACTTCATTGCATGAGGTATGAAAATAATTTGGCGATAATAAGAAATAAATTCCCTTCAAAGATCAATGATTTAACAATACTCCTGTGCTGAAGTTGGTCACATCTACCTCTGTGTCTGTTGGTCTTGTCACGGGCACGAATTTGATTGATATAGACTAAAAATGTTTTTTGTAGAATTAGATGAATAATGTTTATGACAGTTGACATGAAGATGTGGGTGTATCACATCAGCTGTGATTTAAATACTCACGCTGGTTCCTTCCCACCAGTAACAATGAGTCCATCCCTGAGGGTTGTAAACATGGTGAAGACAGGCCCACTATGAGCTTTCTGTACCATTCTGACAAGTGTGGTGTCCTTCCATACATACACATCCCCACTCATGGCTCCAGTGTATGTCAAGTTGTTCTGTAAACAAATATAATAATTACACATCCTCATTAAATTAATCTAACATGTGATTACAAGGATTGTGAATATAACATACATAATTACACAAACATCCATCAATTATTTTCCAGGAAATGAAAAATTTGTTGTCTATGAAAATGATGATTTTGTTCTTCACACTTAAATAGCATTGCATACACAAAATATCTCTTCCATCACTTTTTGTTTCGATCATCCAAAAAAAGAACAAAACGTAAAATATCCTTGACTTACAATTCTCATATTCTAAGTCCAGTTTTTATTCAAGATACTAATGTCAAAAATTTATATATCCATATATAGGCAGAGTAATCAATTAGTGTTTTCTTTTCAGCTAAACTTACCGCCCCAAAAGCTAATGACAGCATGGTTTGCATCTTGACTGTGGTACCTTGGTCCATCCCTGCTGTGGTCAGTATACCACGTTTACCTCTCAACTCACTGCCTGCAACCGTCCAGAACTTGACATGTTTCACACCAACAGTAACAAACTGACTATCAGAGTCTGGTCGGAATTCAGCCTGAAAAATTCTCTCGTTATGTCCAGCAGCTGTTCCAACTTGTGACCCTGTAACAAGGAAAAGAATCTTAAAAAACACCTGGACTGCACTTGTAGAACTAGAATATATTGGACAGAAACAGATGTAACCTTCCCCCCTCCCCCATCCATAGTGTAACAGGTAGTCTAAAAAACAAAATGTTTCCGTGTCAGAATGGGAATATTGGTAGGCATCATCACAGCATGCTAATGCCGAGGAATCAAACAAAGTTTTCTTTAAAATGATATCTGAACCATGTCACCTTAGAATTTTACAGTGGTCATGGACTAACAGAAAGTTAAAACTCAGGCATCCAAACATACTACAGATCAAACTGTCATGATTCTAGGCCTGTTGAGTACATTATGAACCAAACCTGTTGAGAAGTTCTAAAGAAGTAACATTAATTTAAAACATGATGTGGCGGGACAGAAGGACCTGAGAGAAAGTACATTGATGACTGCTGCCTTATGTAGGCCAATAAGTGGTTTAATGTGACAGATTAACAGAAAAAATGTAAAACACTCTTCCATCTTAACTGACCTTCTTGCCATCTCCACACTGTCACATTGTGGTCATCTTCAAGTCCGACTGACAATAAATATTTCCCTGAGCAGGAGAAGTCTACTGCACAAATACCCTTAGAGTGACTGCCCTTTAGGATAGACTTTGTTTCCTTGGTGGCAGAATCCCACACATGGACAGATGGTACAATGCCGATCTGTCCTGAGGCAACCAGACCTTTAAACTTGGGATGCTGATTGACCGCAAGACAAATGATGTCATCTGTGTGTTCTAGGTAAAAACTCTGATGACCTGGAAGAAAATATACATCTTTCAAAGTTAACACTGTAAATGGATAACATTTTCTATATGTTTATAATACATTCTCATTAAACTTGCTGGGGAATCTTATCTAGAGTTACACATAAGTACCCCTGAATACATTAAACAGGGCACCCATCACACTAAAGCACCCATGAATACCTTAAGCTAACATATCCCCGAATACCTTTAACACAACACCCATCACACTGCAGTACCTCTAAATACCTTAAACTAACGTCATCCCCGATTACCTTTAACACAACACCCATCACATTAAAGTAGCCCTGAATACCTTAAACTAACGTCATCCCCCGATTACCTTTAACACAACACCCATCACATTAAAGTAACCCTGAATACCTTAAACTAATGTCATCCCCCGAATACCTTTAACACAACACCCATCACATTAAAGTAGCCCTGAATACCTTAAACTAATGTCATCCCCCGAATACCTTTAACACAACACCCATCACACTAAAGTACCCTTGAATACCTTAAACTAATGTCATCCCCCGAATACCTTTAACACAACACCCATCACACTAAAGTACCCTTGAATACCTTAAACTAACTTCATCCCCCGAATACCTTTAACACAACACCCATCACATTAAAGTAACCCTAACGTCATCCCCCGAAACACAACACCCATCACATTAAAGTACCCTGAATACCTAATGTTAACACACAACACCCATCACATTAAAGTAACCCTGAATAAACTAACTTCATCCCCCGAATACCTTTAACACAACACCCATCACATTAAAGTAACCCTGAATACCTTAAACTAATGTATCCCCGAATACCTTTAACACAACACCCATCACATTAAAGTAACCCTGAATACCTTAAACTAATGTATCCCCGAATACCTTTAACACAACACCCATCACATTAAAGTAACCCCGTCATTCCCCGATACCTTTAACACAACACCCATCACACACCTTTAACACAACACCCATCACACTAAAGTACCCTTGAATACCTTAAACTAATGTCATCCCCCGAATACCTTTAACACAACACCCATCACACTAAAGTACCCCTGAATACCTTTAACACAACACCCATCACACTGCAGTACCTCTAAATACCTTAAACTAACGTCATCCCCCGAATACCTTTAACACAACACCCATCACATTAAAGTAACCCTGAATACCTTAAACTAACTTCATCCCCCGAATACCTTTAACACAACACCCATCACATTAAAGTAGCCCTGAATACCTTTAACACAACACCCATCACACTGCAGTACCTCTAAATACCTTAAACTAACGTCATCCCCCGATTACCTTTAACACAACACCCATCACATTAAAGTAGTCCTGAATACCTTAAACTAACGTCATCCCCCGAATACCTTTAACACAACACCCATCACACTAAAGTAGCCCTGAATACCTTAAACTAACGTACCTTTAACACAACACCCATCACATTAAAGTAACCCTGAATACCTTAAACTAATGTATCTCCGAATACCTTTAACACAACACCCATCACACTAAAGTACCCTTGAATACCTTAAACTAACTTCATCCCCCGAATAACTTTAACACAACACCCATCACATTAAAGTAACCCTGAATACCTTAAACTAATGTATCCCCGAATACTTTTAACACAACACCCATCACATTAAAGTAACCCTGAATACCTTAAACTAACGTCATCCCCCGAATACCTTTAACACAACACCCATCACACTAAAGTAGCCCTGAATACCTTAAACTAACGTATCCCCGAATACCTTTAACACAACACCCATCACATTAAAGTAACCCTGAATACCTTAAACTAACTTCATCCCCCGAATACCTTTAACACAACACCCATCACACTAAAGTACCCTTGAATACCTTAAACTAACGTCATCCCCCGATTACCTTTAACACAACACCCATCACACTAAAGTAGCCCTGAATACCTTAAACTAATGTATCCCCGAATACCTTTAACACAACACCCATCACAATAAAGTACCCCTGAATACCTTAAACATGACACCCATCACACTAAAGTACCCCTGAATACCTTAAACTAACTTCATCCCCCAATTACCTTTAACACAACACCCATCACACTAAAGTACCCCTGAATACCCTAAACTAATGTATCCCTGAATATCTTTAACACAACACCCATCACAATAAAGTACCCCTGAATACCTTAACCTAATGTATCCTCAAATACCTTTAACACAACACCCATCACACTTAAGTACCCCTGAATACCTTAAACATGACACCCATCACAGTAAAGCAGGCCTTAATACCCATGTTTTAACTCACCTGAAGACAGGTTCTGGACGATGCCTGCTCCAGCGGTGTGGAAGATGATATCAGCACCCTCGTTTATATAATGGAGATTATTACGAGAATCAAATCCACGGTATCCAAACACATAGTCCAATTGTAGATCCTTCACATGAAACAATAAGGCATTTGCTAAAAAATTAGTTTAGAGGATAAAAAAACTTATGTCCAATATATATCTGCAAATGAAAGTAGATGATAAGTATAATTTTTAGTTTTCAGATTCAGACCACAATATCTCAGGCCAGACTTTCTTCACTTCAGCATCAAGAAAGTAAAGCATTCATGATTTGGAAATTGCCATATCCACTAGAACATCCTATCTAATTTTATCTTTTAGCTGAGGAATGTTTTAGTTACCCCTGATGTAAGTTGCTGAACAAAAAACTTACTGTCACTTGTGTTGTCTTTTTCCTCTTTGAACCTGCAGATGGAGCCTCTGACCTTTGAACCTTAGGAGGTTTTGGAGGCTTGCGCTTGAATCCGGATCTATTTATTTCAAGGATTGAATAAAATGCTGTAAATTGTCGAACTTCATTTCAAGAACCATACACAAGATCTAGGGGAAATAACTCATTCTCTATATGAACATATATCTAGATATTTGCATATTCACCATCACCATGTCATTAATCAAATTAAGTGTAACAAAGTCACAGGCATTTTGCTTATTGTGACATTCCTTTGTATTTCCAATTACATACTTATAAACCCTTTGTCCTAGTGCATTAGGTAAAACAATGTACTGTTTTTAACTAAATCTCAGTTACACATCTCAGCTATGTCAGTCTGTGCAATACTGGTAAAACTCAGCAATGAAAAAAGACAAAAAGAACTGATAGTTACTTTGCCTGTACTCCAGCACCATCCTGTAGATGAGGTTTCACTCCCTTCCTTTCTCTAATGGGATTTGTGTAGCTTTTGCTGGCATAGTCCAAATTTTTCTCTCGCTCCACATCACTATCATAACCTGTAAAGAAACCAATTAATTTTATGCAAATTAAATACTATTACCCTTAGTATTTATATACATGGGCTTGTAGAACTCACTTTCACTTTATTACTCTACGTGTCTGATTTGTTAGAAATCATCTCAAGAGTCTCAGCCTTAAAAAGCAGTTGTTTTAACCCCATGACCTCTAAAGTGGGTCAAGGCCAGTCATTTGTGAACAAACTTGATACTCATTCCCAGCATGCTACTAGCCACATATCTTGGCCCTTGGCCTCTTGGTAATTTAAAATAAGTAATCCAAAGATTGCAAGACATTATGTTTTCAAAATGTGCATAACTGCAAAATTACTTCAATTGTTTTATCATTTATACCATAAAGTCTTACTAAAAACAGGTGAGAAAACATCTCAGGTAACTGACACAGGTTATCTGCCTTACCTCCTTCTTCCTCGGAGTCAGTGTCAGAGTCATCACTTTCACCACATGTAGTTACAGGTCCCTCTGTTGTGTTACGATATCGCCATACCATGATGGCTGTGTCGGCCCCACCAGTTGACACCAATAGGTTATCATCAACAGTAAAACGAACGTTGGTCACATGGGCACTGTGACCCACATATTTCTTGTATTTAGCAAATTTTTCCTGGAGAACAAGCAAAGACATTTGATTTCTTTAGAGAATCTGAAACAGTGGAACACATCTTTTCTAAATATTTTTATTCAGTACAAATTTTTGAGGAGCTTTACCACTGGTATTCACACTATGATCGAATTGACCAATATTATTTTAGAGAAATTGACATCTTGTTTGGCAATCAACAGTTCAGTAAGCTTTTAAACCACTTTCTCCTCCTCACAAAACATCACACATACTACAGTCAAGTTAATCATTTAACACCAAACTTTTTGGCATGTAAATCTATTTTCAAAAAAGTAATGACTTGAAAAATTTATTGCCTCAAAGAACAACACTGAGGGATTTTGAAAAAAAATGAGGTCATCTTTGAGATAATTTGCATTCATTGTCATCTACTGATACCAAAGTTCTTTGGTTTTCTGTTTTTGAGGTGTCATCATTTAGGCACTAAAATGGATTTATGTCCCTTAAAAGTCTCCTTTAATCAAAAGAAATAGAAACTCAAACCTTCTCCCTAAAGGCCTCCATCAGTCCAAAGGTCCTTGTTTGTTATTGCAAGATATTCAGTGTGTGTTATGTGTCAAAGTTGTGTGAAAATTTTGATCAACTTGTATAAAACAAAACTATACAATGAACTGTTTGAAAGTGGTGTGAAGAAGTTGTGAAAAAAGACTGGAGACATTCGAAAAAAAAACTATGGTAAAATAGAGTATGAAAATATTTATATTTTGTATGTATGAATGGTGTATGGTGTGTGGTGTGCGAGAACCCTTCTGTGGAGAGGGCATTATTTGTAAGGGACTGATCCCAGGGCCCCAACCCTTGCAGTCTCAATTATCGCTGGATTAATAAAATATTTGTGTAAAAAAAAAAAAAATAAACAAAAAAAAAAGCTATTTACTTTCTTATAAAACATGTTTAACAGAAGGAAGTTGAATGTGTATCACCATTACAAGGTATCTCAAACAAACAAACCTTTACTGGATACTGGAACAGTTTCACAAATCCGAAGTCATCAGCTGTAGCAATAACACCTTTGTCATTGCTTACACAGACAGCGTTTACGTCAGTGACATCACTCTTTGGTGGCCACACTCCCTCACAGGTGTGTCCCAACACCGACGTCCATGTCATCCAATCAAATTTCTCTATTTCAGCGTGCCGCAGAGTAACACGTTTGCCCCTGGGTGCCTCAAAAAACAGCTGTTCTCTAGCACCACTGTTGACCATAAGGACTTTACCTGTAAAGTCAAATTCAGAGAATTAATGATTCTGAATATTTTTGATATGGAACACCATAGAAACACAAGTTTAAAGCCTGTGTATATAAAAACCTGACAATGAGCAGATTTTTGTTCGTTGGTTGTCATTCAAATTGCAGGATTAGATTTACTTTATTAAATAAAAGTAGATAACATCTCACCTGTCCTATCCCAGTCAATGTGTGTGATGTAGCTAGAGGCTCCTTTACATGTTCCCACCCTCTTCTGGTTTTGTACATTGTAGATGTCCACAAAGTTGTCGTGAGAGGCTACAGCTAGGTACTTGACAGGATCTGTAACAATCAGTCACAACATTCACTGCTGAAACTGACACTAAGATATGTGAAGAACAATAGAGTAATAGTTACGAGCTAGTGAACAACAGTGAGAATTAGTCTAAAGATTTTGTACTTTTCTAGACAGCAATCATTCTCAACAACAGTAATCACTATGGGGGTCGCTACACGTATCCTAAAAGTAACAATAGTTAACGTTTGTGACTACATATAAAATATTTCTGGTTTTGATGCGTTAAATAGTTCTTTGTGATTGTGACAAGCAAGTTGTGGTTGGTGACAAATTCTATAACAAAACGTTTATTTGTGGCTACGTGTGTTTTTAAAGACAATGGCTGGTCAACTAAAATAGGTGACTTGTACATAGTACTACTTATTTCTCTCCTACTAGTAAGCAAGCTGAATGACTGATTTGTGAATACAAAAGACAATTGTAAAAACATCTAAATGAACAGGAAATTTAAAACAAATAAATATCTGTCAGATGTGAGTGGGTTGAGTGAGGAGAATCTCCCTGTTCACTTTTTTTCAGGATTGATAAATGTCTTACCTCCTAGAAATGCTTGAGAAATGACAAAGATTTTCTTTCAGTAAGAAATGTAGTCAGCATGAAACAAAGGTGATTTCAATGTAAGGCTATTGTACCAATAGATAACGCTACTTGGAGTATTGACCAGAAGGTATGGCCACCAGATATAGTGTCACAACATTCATTATAAAACGTCAATAAGCCATGAATGTCCTCCCTCTAAGACAAACCAGAATCTGATCAGGTGTGGAACTTGTTAGGATACTATTAGGTAAATATAAACCAAGTCTGTTGAAAGGTTCTGAAGACATGAAATTGATACAGGTTGGTATGGACAGGGCTTGTTTATCCCTGTTCCCCACCTTACCATATAAAATAGTGGAGACATGAAATGTATAATTATTTATTTTCCAACTTTACTGAGTAAAATCTCATCCAACTGTGTACAATTTTATTGCCCTCTCAACACTCATATGTACAGTATTTACATATAACACAAAAGTTCGTTCAATATACATGTATATTCTTTAAAACGATCATTTACAAACCTGGAGAAAATTTTATGTCTGAAATTTCCTCCTTTCTGTGGTGGAATGATAAAATTTCATCCATTGAGTCAGAGTTAATCACCATAAAACTTCCTGTAAATAAAACAAGAAAAATACTTCAGAGCACCATTAATGTATTAAAAATATTAATCTCAAAATTGCAACTACACAACTATATGAAATATCGTCATCTCTTCAGAAGGAATCAGTCTTTTAAATTTACTACCACTCCAACACTGGGCCCTAACACTGTTCTCCTAAGTCTTCATTTATGCATTTGATTTTCTTGTCTTCTTGATACCAAGTTCTGAATTTGTTGAAAATCTGTCAAGGGCTTAACGTTGATATATGACAAACCTTGAACTACAGCATAATTCATTTGGACCCATTTTGCAACTTTAAGAAGTACATGCAAGTTACGATGCACAGCACTCCTAGTTATATGTCTGTGAGCTACACTTCAATTGATACTTAAAGAATTGATAAAAAATCTCACCATCTTTAAGTCCTATAGCCAGAAATTTGCCATCAGAGGAAAAGTCGACACATCTGCCTGCTTGCTTCAACTGCTTGTAGTTAATCATTCTATGGTCTGTTAGGTCCCAGATGCGGAGAGTCTTATCATCACTGACGGTCGCACATACCTTCTTGCGTGGATGGACAACAAGACCCCATAATTCTCCCTCCATGTGGCCCTGGACATGTGTAATAAAATCTAATCAATATCCCTCTGAGAGTCCATCATAGAATGAATTTTGAATGAAAATCACTTGCAAATCTGAGAAGAATTGTTGCAAACAGACTGGGGTTGCAGAAACAGAAAGATTATAGATGGTCATGAATCTGAAGAATAAAATGATAAATGCTGTATATTGTTGACATACCTGTGTGAGTAATGTCATTGGACCTGCCTTGTCCACCTCCAGTACTTCACCATTGCGCGTCCCCAGTAGAATCTTGCCGTGTCCCAGAACTATTGCCCTGATGGATGGAGACTCGGATATCAACATACCTCGTGAGTTCTGGGCTATGGAAGCTTGTTTAATTGAGTAGGTCTTCAAACATCGCTCAAACTGGTCGTCCCACAGTCCGACCACCCCATCCTTTCCTCCAGTCACAAAACCCTGCAAGTTGTTCATAAAAATTAGTTTTCACAAGAATACATCAATTTACAATGTAAATCCCTGCAGTTCATAGATTATAACACAATAACATACATTAGCTCCAGAGTGGGAACCAGCATGGGTTAAACAAGTTGCACTAACACAATTACATCCTCAGAGGATCACACTGTTCTTATACATGTCATTGACCCAGGGATAACTAATACCATGTTGATGGCATTGGGGTATTCATACATAATTTGTTTTCTTTCAATTCAGTGTTTAAAAAAAAAAACAAAAACAAAAAATCAAAGTGCCAACCTTTAAGTACTTTAAATACATCGCTTGTGTAAATTTAAGTTCTCATGCAACAACTTTGATATGGAGCAGGTTACGAAACAGTACCCTTGTCAACTTCGGACTTCAACTCCTAAACGACTACACTACAATGACTTAAATGGTTTCCCACCTTGTCCAGGGAATGCATGGCGAACACAGGACCTTCGTGTGCCTTCACTGTGCGCTGCAGTTTGGTGTCCTGCCACACAAACACATTTCCATCACTCCCACCTGAGTAGAACAAATCTACAGCCTTCCCAAATGTTATGCACAACATGTCACACAACTTGGCCACGTTGCCAAAGGTCCCACGACTCGATGTAAAACCACCACCTGACGGAGATAAAACAAGACAGTGAAAATAATGTAAGTGCAAAAAATGAGAGAATTATGATATCTATAAATTTAAAAAGATTTAGAAGCAATTCAATTTTGTATTGTTAACTTATCAGACCAGTCACCAAAATTGATTGATAAAAACTTCATAACACAATAACTTCAGATGCTAAGATTGCAAAAATTAGCATTGGGAAATTAATTGGTTTCCATTTATCTAATGTAGCCTTTCAATCCAGGAAGTAGATTACAGGTTTATGTTGTATAATTATAAATATTGAATATTTTGTTTCAGTAAATCAAAGTGATAGTACAAATTGAAACTTAGCAGGGATGCTTCAAACTTACACTGCTTAAGAGGACCAAACATGACAAATATATGACTGAATATTTAAGTAAAACCAAGTGAAATTAAACAAGCTTTCATCCTAAAATTCTTCTTAAAGATTTTCTATAAAATGCATACTTATATTACCATGATATGACAATATACCTGTCTGAGTCCAGAACTTGATGTGCTTCACTCCAACTGTGATGAGTTTGTTTGTCTCAAATGGATTCCACTTGATCACAAAAATCTTGTCTTTGTGGCCCCTGAAAAAAAATCATTAAATGGGAAAAGTTAGCCCAGTTATCGTCTGTGTAAAATCACGGTAAGTAGGGATAAAAAATTTACATAGGCACTATAGAATTAGTCAGCACAAATTTGTTAATTCCTAATAAGCAAAAAGTAAGAAAATAAATGTAGTTATTTTATTAAGTCAAGTACTTATGTCACTATAAATTACAGAAAAATTAAACACCAGATGACAAACAGTGAATGATAGCATCACCTCAGGATCTTTTTGGACTAGTACCTGGTACTCTTAATGCATTCAAGTCACCTCAGGATCTATTTTCTCTCTACATATTTACATTACCTGATGGTGGCCAGTTTCTCTCTACATATTTACATTACCTGATAGAGGCCATTTCCACAGTGCCTGGTGATGGCCAGTTTCTACATATTTACATTACCTGATAGTGGCCAGTTTCTACATATTTACATTTCCTGGTATTGGTCAGTTTCTCTCTACATATTAACAGTACCTGGTGTGGCCAGTTTCTCTCTACATATTTACAGTACCTGGTGATGGCCAGTTTCTCTCTATATATTTACATTACCTGATAGTGACCAGTTTCTCTCTACATATTTACAGTACCTGGTGATGGCCAGTTTCCCCCTATATATTTACATTACCTGATAGTGACCAGTTTCTCTCTACATATTTACAGTACCTGGTGATGGCCAGTTTCCCCCTATATATTTACATTACCTGATAGTGACCAGTTTCTCTCTACATATTTACAGTACCTGGTGATAGCCAGTTTCCCCCTATATATTTACATTACCTGATAGTGACCAGTTTCTCTCTACATATTTACATTACCTGATAGTGACCAGTTTCCCTCTATATCTTTACATCACCTGAGAGTGACCAGTTTCTCTCTACATATTTACATTACCTGATAGTGACCAGTTTCTCTCTACATATTTACAGTACCTGGTGATGGCCAGTTTCTCTCTACATATTTACAGTACCTGGTGATGGCCAGTTTCTCTCTACATATTTACAGTACGTGGTGGTGGTTAGTCTCTACATATTTACAGTACCTGGTGATGGCCAGTTTCCCCCTATATACCTGATAGTGACCAGTTTCTCTCTAGATATTTACAGTACCTGGTGGTGGCCAGTTTCTCTCCTTTCCTCCAGTCCCACACCACTATACAGTGGTTATCGTCCAGTCCAATGGAAGCTAACCTTTTCCCATCACCTATAGAAAATTCAGTACATGTTACTGACATGTATCACAGTATTCCAAACTATGTGTTGGTATGAAACACAGGGTTATGATTTAATGACTACACAGCACAATCCCATATAATCAATAGCTATCAATGCCAAAAAGAAAATTCTATTAAGCAAAATCCTTGTGTCACTTCTTCATGATGGTAAAAGAAAACAGTGCAAGGGCTCACACACACATAACAGCCATTTTGTACTGATATTGGTCATGTGTTACTTTAGCATAGTGAAGCCCAACTGATCAAATCGCTTTACAAAAACAGCCTATGACATGTATGGTATATGCATACTTTGCCTTCCAAAAGTTCAAAAATTTTAAAAGTTTATAGAATTTTCGTTACATTGTAATATTTGCTAAATTTTGTTACTTAGAGAATCAGAATTTTAAGTTTTCAATTATTGTTGTCGTGTTAAGCAGTTGACACTTAATGCATTATAATTAATATCTTTTTAGTGAGTGGGGCATGTAGATCTTAAATACTGTGTGTTTTTGTAAGTATTCAAATATGAGAAATCTGACATGATGCTTTTTTGTACTTAAAACAAGCACATTTTCAGAATTTTTTTTTTTTTTACAAAAACAAGAAATTTTTTCTAAGTTTTGTGAGTATTATTGAACTATTTTCCACTCTTTAATTCAGTCTTACTTGAGAAGTCTACAGCACACACTCCTCGCTGGTGTTGTCCCTTCAGTACAGAGACTGTTTTGAGAGTGTCTGTATCCCAAATATGGACTTCTGGATCACGTCCCACCTATCAACATACAATTTGCGAAAGAGATGTTGTAACAGCTAAACTCAGTGACAGAAACCTTCATTTTGAGGGCAGTACTAATCATGGTATATGAAATATATGTATGATTATGTTTTATCAAAGTATGTCTTCGAGGCAAAAGCAATGTAATTCTTAGATAATCACTTTGTCATTGCTCAAATTTTTATAGGATTGTGACCTTGATAGTAACTTACTTATGTCATCTGTTACAAAGTTTGGCAAGCTTTCAAGCTTTCAACTTTTGAAACAGCTAATAAATAATTATCATTATACTTACTGCTAAGTCCAACTGTTAAGGTGACATTATTCAAGAAAACTTTATACAGAACACACAATTCAAATGACTAAATATTTGAGTGGGTGTATATGCACAATTTGTCGACTGTGTGCTTGGTGTAAAACTGACCTGACCAGTAGCGACTAAGTCTTTGAGTGGGTGTATACACAGACAGAGTATATCGTCAGTATGCTCAGTGTAAAATCTCTGTGTGTTGTTTTCTCTGTTGTACACAATGCCTGCTGCAGCCACATGGTAAACTACTTCACCATTCTGTGTATAAAACAAGTTGTTTCTGCAGTCGTAACCACGGTACCTGGACAAAAAAGTAACACATTTATTATGACCATATAGACACTTATAAAGAAATGTCACACAATAATTACTTGTGTGTGTTTTTTTATTTCCTAACATCAGGTTAAAGTAGGTCAAACATCAAGAAAATGAAAAATCGAACATAACATGAACACTTATTACTTATTGTTGTAGCCAAGCAGAAAACTGCAATTTATCATAGATAACACCAATAAGTATTCTATGTATTTTAATGTATCTTTGTGCGACACCTTTCATACACATGTCACTTTTTCTTCCTCATTAATAGTGACTATCAAAGCAAAATAAAAATATGCTTCAAAATCAACAATGGGCTACCAGCTTTATTTTCTTTTTCATACGATATTTTATTCTGCTTAGAAATGCACGTACAAGATATTAGGTTTTTGAAAAAAGATGGAGTGACAAAGCCCTAATAAGTGCAATCAAACCAAGTTCATTATCTGAAAACTCAAAGTTTTTATCGGACCAACTGGCCAAATCTTATCTCTTTATCTAACTTCCTTTCACTGAATTTAAGAACAAGCTGTAATTACCCATGGATGTATTCCAGCTTGAGACCTACATCTGGTCCCTTCTTGCGTTTCTGACCACTACCCATTTCAGCCTTAATCATCTTTCGAATAGTTTTTGCATCCTCTTTGTAAACAGCACGGTCATATTTGATCTGTTTTTCCTGCTCAAGGTCGGAGTCTACCTCACCAATATCGGACATGTCTGAGTCACTAGCCTCACTGTTGGAATCCAGGTAACCTGTTAACAACAAACAAATCAAGAAAATTATCAAACACTTATGAACATTTCTGATTAACATGTTATTGGATTTTCAATACTGTCATTTGTGATTGTTTTTATTTTTTTTTTAACTTGTTTTTGACCATTTTGATCACTAGTAGAAAGGGTTTTCAACCTCCATACTTAAAATAATATCGTCTCTTTTATTCAAGGATATTCCAGGACAAACTTTGATTGTAATTCATATATTTATATGGAAAATGATGTTTTATATTCACACCTAAATGACTCCCTTCTTCTGCCACAGGGAGTTACACACTCTATATAAGCAACACTGAGTCATTTTGGTCACACAAATTTAGTGAAAATCCACACATCAGTATATGGTAACTTTTAACCATTACAAACGTAGCTGAAAATAAGACAACTGTCCAAATACCATAATACCTGAAGAAAGAGGACACGCCTTCAAACTTTTCCGATAAACTTTGTTTACATGGATACTGATGATATCTTTAGAAGATCTATATCTAAAGTAAGTATGGTTCCCCACTCACCACTCTGAGGATCAACCAAGCCTTCAGCACCAGAGCCGTCAGCACCGATAAAACGCCACTGGAACACGCTGTGGTCAGCTCCCCCTGTAGTTATCACTCGACTTTTGTCATATGAGAACCGAACATTGGTGACATGAGATGAGTGGCCTATGTATTTCCTGAATTTGGCACCTGAAACAAGAATTCATTTCACTATGATATACAGTTAAACTGACTTTGTGATGATGGTATACATCTATGCAAGATACGGCAATACCTTCATATACAAACACATATACAGTAGCAGTACAAAGTTTTAATTCAAATAAGAAGCCTTATCTTTAAGTATAGACAAATTGCACAATGTTAGTATTCATCAATTTCCAGACTGACAGATCATCCTCTCTGTTGATTTTTATGCAATTTTTACTTCATATACATCTTTTTAATTTGTTGTACCTCAGGGTACATACACATCTTACTTTCTGTATGAAATCTTTTTGGGTTTGTTGAATGAAATGTTATTCAAAATCAACACATTTACAAATTCTATGACTATAATCGTTTACACAGGAATTTAAGATTCTGGTAAACCCATAGGAAGCTGAAGTCTTACTTACATGTATGGGATATAGAATCTACTAGAAAGGATGATCTGAATGCAAAAAGTCAAAGGTCAGGAAATTATCAGGTACAAACCTTTCCGCAGAGAAGGAAATTTGAACAATTTGACCAGGCCAAAGTCATCACCAGTGACGATGGTCTCTGCTTGAAAGTTGGCATCCACGGCATTAATATCGTTGGTGTCAGTGTATTTCTCCCAGATTCCATTGACCTCTGAGCCCAAAACACCAGTGAATGTATGCCATCTGATGTTGACAATTTCCTCCCTATTGGTAAGCTGTTTGCCCACTAAAGGAAAAAAAAAAAAACAGAATTGATTTTTTGGAAATACATCTATATTACTTTGAATCATGTGATGCTGCTTTACTTACCTAGTAACAAGATACTCACTTTGAAAAAATGTTAATTTGTATGATATGTTACTTGAAAGTGGGTCAATGTCATTTGTTTGAATGACATTTCAAAACTTCCCTCCAATATGCTTATTATCATTAGTTCAGGTATCACGGTTCCATTTTATGAGATATAAACATAAACATAAAAAATCAATGCACTGAGTATCATGTAGTCTTCTCAGGAACTTCAAAATGTTACTGTGGATATTCACAGGACACCGTGCAGTCCACTGATTGGCACCTAGGGCTTTCACACCCCATTTTGGGACTGGGGCCCTTAGAATTGGGGAAAATAGCAGCATTTTCCTTAGAATTGGGAAAACTTGGTGCCTAAATTGGGAAAAAAAGATACCATTTTGCATTATTCGGCCCCAAATCTGGCAGATCAAGAGCCCTGGCACCATTTATCTGATGACCTAAAAATGGTGATAAATTTGCTGCTCTTGTAAAAAAATTGAAAAAAAGGAAAAGGATAAGGAAAAGTTCTAAGATTTATTATCAAGAAAACACAATATCTACAATTAAACGACTTGAATACCTGGCATTCTATAGAAGAGTCTCTCTGCAGCACCGCTGTTCGTCTGAAGAAACTTGCTATCCTCTGACCAGTCAATGTGTGTGATGAAACTGGAACTGCCCTTACACATTCCTACTTGTTTGTAGCGCTGCTCCACCGAGTACACATCCACAAAGTTGTCGTTAGAGGCCACTGCCAAGAACTTACCACAAGGAGAGAACTTCATCTCATGAATCACCTCCTTTCTGTCTTTGATATGTACAACCTCTGCAAAATCTCTGCAAAATGTAAAGAATCAAAATTAAGACCCACTCTTTGCAAAGGTTTTGCAACAAATATCCAAGAGGCCTTAACGGTCCATCTGGACTGCAGATCATAAATAATCACAACATTCAGTTTTTACTTAGCCTATCACATAATGCATCTCCTTTTATGACATTATCCTCGATTGGTCTAGTCAAAACTTTGCACGATTTTTTACTTAAGATCAATTCCTGTGACCTGGTTTGGTTCCTTTGTTCAAAGAAATATACTATTATATACTTTTATCAAAGGAATGAAAGGAATATAACTTGAAGGGGAAACAAATTTCAATCTGATCTTACTGTTTCTATCCACCTTTCGGTACAAACATTCTAAAATATACTCACCCAACCTTTAGCACCAAAAAGGAGCCATCCATAAGCCCAACGGCAATGTGATTTCCATCATTATCAAAGGCACAAGATCTGATCTTCTGATCAACAGATGTTTTAGAGAGAACTTCAAAGTTGTTCATATTCCACAATCTGCAAAGAAACAATCTGAGGTTTTTCACTCTGAATTCTTGAACATCTTTTTTTAGGTCTCAAACTTATTGATCATAAGAAGCAAATATAAGTAAATTGTACATTAATTCTTTTTGTTGTTGTTTTCTTGCAACAGAGATATTCTATAAATAACAATTTTTCAGCTTCAGTTTACCAACTTCTGATAGTTAAATCCTTACAGTACAAGAACTGTAAATAAAACAGTATAACTACTGTACCTGAGTGTCTGATCATCACTTCCTGTGGCAAATACAGGCTTGCGTGGATGAACAGCGAGGGCCCAGAGCTCCCCTTCAGCATGACCCTGTACAAGGCACTGAGGTTTGTCTCGCTCCCGTACCAACACCTCAAATATCTCACTGTCCTGGGTCCCACAGAGGACACGTTCTCCCCTCCAGCATACACTTCGTACACATAAACCTACATATTAAAACAAGACACATCATTTAATACATGTCTGAAATAAACTAGAAAATGTCTGTAAGACATGAATGCCCCCGCCCCCCCATGTGAAATAATAGTGAAAGGTCTGAATGAAGTTGTTAGGTGGTATATACTGATTTGGGACGGGACGGGACGGACGGACGGACATGGGCAACGCTATATGCACCCGGCCATAAATGGCGGGGGCATAAAAATAAATATATTGAACCAAGCTGATGTACTATGTGTTGGTATAGATGTCTGACACCCACCTTTGTATCCTATGTGTGTATTGAGCAGATTAACCGTAGTTATCGGATTGAAGTCGGAGTCCCAAAGCCGTACACAACCATCTTTTCCACCGGTCACGAAGCCCTCATCTCCATGGTCAAGACTGTAGATAGCACCCTGTAAATGACAATGATGATGAAAGTAACTCCATGGATTAGATCATGCTATGATGAAGAAATTTTTTGTACTAACCTTACCAAGTACTTTTCCTAGCAATACTAAATCTATTTCACCTATTATATACCTGCCAGTCTCAAGGACAACACCTATTTAAATTGTTTCATTATGCATGCAAGCTTTTCCCTTGTTATTCACCTGAAAGACTAAAGACTGAAATGTTGATGATAATGAAAGATAGACTGGTCATTTACATGGAAATCATTGGCTGACTCCTGTGAAGCAGATCTAACACAAGTTAGTGAGACATTCCTATATAAAGGTATTGAATTCTTCTGTTTGTGTTCTTATCTCCTTTACCTTATGTGCCTCCTGTACAACTCTATCGAGGTTGTTTTCCTTCCATATGTAAATGTCTCCACTCATAGTGCCTGAGTAAGTTGTGTTGTCAGAGAAGCTAAAAGCTAGACACATAATACTCTGTATCTCGCCAGTTTTCCCAAACACACCCTTCCTGGAGGTCAAAGAATTCCCACAAAGTGTCCAGAACTTAATGTGTTTCACACCACAGCTTACAACAGTGTTTTCTTTGAAGGGATGGAACTGCACATCAAATACCTGGAGGAAGACAAAAACCAGACAGCTTTTCATCCTGACATGCCACAAATCAATCATCATAACCATACCTAACTACATTCAAAAGCTAATTATAGTCTCTTTTAAAGTATCTGACCTCTGTTACCTTCAAACTGGCTCAAGATTTGATTAAAGCCTGAAGTTATTCCTATACTCTAACATATTACAGAACAAATAACATGCAACTTTTAAAAAGTTTTCTGACAGACAATACAATGTTAACATAACTTGCAAATAGGCACTAATATGACACTGCCAAGTGGAATGAAGATATGCCAATTTCTATTTTGCTATTTTGTAACTGGTTAAAATTTTGTTAAAATGATATTCTAATAGGTTACATTGCACTAACAAATTAATCTACCAACCCTATCAACATGGCTCAGACTGTAGCCAGTACTTAGTCTAACTACCCTATCAGAATGGCTTCTGACAGTAGCCCACTACTTTGGGAGTCTACCTACCCTATCAGTGTGGCCTCTTGCTGTAGCCAATACTTTTCCTCTCTTCCAATCCCAAACATTGATGGTCGACTGCTGGTCTAACCCGACTGATACCAGGCGCTGTAAAATCAAGTTCACCACTTTATGTATCAACACAAGAAGTTTCCTCCATATTTAAGTCTTTATTGCTTGATCCATAGCTTGCCAACTACATGTGCAACACATAATATAACATTTACACAAGTGATGCGTGTAAGATCTTGGGACTCACTCTCTAATGTCACATGAATAAATCTCAGATTGGCAATTGCTTTCCTGGTCAGAAATTTGTTTTTATGTGTAATCATTAAATCTAGACCACACACTAACAGCTTCATAGAATCAAACCAAAAATATGTAAGGACTGCAATTGTAAACCTTGAGAATATTCATATGACCACATCATGGAGCATAAGTATAACTTCATAATTATACAATGTATTGTTTGAATCTTAAAAAAAATCCTTACAATTTTACAATCTTTGTATGTAACTATGACCTTTTCCACTTGCCAATTTTAAAATTTTTATCACTTACTGTTCCCTCTCTGTCAAATGCTACTGCAGCAACTCCATTTTGGTGTCCATCCTTAAGTATGGACACAGTGTCCATTGTGCTAGAGTCCCAGACACAAATGAATGGACTCTTTCCTGTCTGTCCTGTGGCCACCAAAGATCTATCAGGATGTAAAGTGAGGCTGAAAGCAGAATAACAGCTAATATGATTCTCTATTATCACCCATGTGCATGAATCTCTGTTTGATGAGCAGGCATACAACACTCTTTGTGATACAATTTAAATGCATATTAGAACCAACAATAGTTTTATAAGACCATGTTAATGAATGTCAAGACAATGAGTCTGAATAAGCTTGGTGGTTTTACTATATAAGCACTCAAAGAAACAAACAAACCCTTAAGGTTTATATAAAGGATACTAAAGTACACCATAGATCACATAAGATTGACTGCAATATGCAGTGAAAAAGTAAACCAAAATGTTGCCTTACTGCTTGTGACACTTTCTATAAAGCTTTATATACAAAAGCAAAAAGAAATGTATAAGTACTTATGAATGTTGTTATATTTCAGAAATGGATAAAAAGAAATTGCATTTAGAATTTTTTACCATCAGTTATACTTAAAATTAGTAATGGACATCTTGAATTGCGGTAACTTCTAACTTGTCTAGTATTTCTATACGAGTTATTTCCCCTTGACGCCATTTCTACAAATTATGGACATACGAGTGCTTGAGCCTTGACTCACGTACCACAGACCAACATTTTACAAATCAATAGGTGATGATAACTACTGTTTTGTATTGTAGTATGCAGAAGATAAAAGTTGGGAAAACGTTTAATGAGCTGCAAGGGGCGCAAAAAGTTAACATAAGCATTCACCGAGTCATTGCTCGACAGGACTGTAGCCTAAACGTTCATTAGGCGTACCAAATCTGGCGGTATTTTAATTTGAATTTTTCTTCAGCTAATATGAGAACATGCCTAAATAATTAATATGTAGGACATAACTTAGAATTATCTAAGTTCGAATTCGTTCCGCTTATTTCATATCAAAAGATGTTATGCTTAATTGTTGCATTCAATACTGTGCATGTTGCAACACGACTTCGCTCGTCTGCTACTGAGCAGCAGACCAAGTGATCCATAAAGACAAACTTTATGAAAACATACAAATACTAAAAGATAAGTGTTGTATATTGCAACAAGCAATATCAAACTAAAAGCATTTAGTGATATACAAATATTTACCACAAGATATCATCATCATGACCAAGATAGAAGCGTTGTTTATGATTTCTGTCGTTATAAACAATCCCGATGCCGGCGACGAAATAGATGACATCCTTGCTGGTGTTGTAAAATAAGTTGTTCCTGCACTGGTGTCCTCTATATCCATAGACCCACTCCAGTCGAAGTTGGGTCTGTGGTGCTGTTTTAGTCGACATCACGCAAATCAAGGCACTTGCACAAGGTTCTGAAGCACCACTAGGCTTTACGCGGCCATTTTGAAATTCCTCAGCGAGTGTAACTGGGAGAGGGTAATGTCCGGAAAGCAGTCCGGTTGCGGTGTCAAATGTTAGGTTTAATATTGAATTATTTTCTACATGAACCTCTTTAAAATGTGTCGAGTCTTGTTTAAAATTCATCGTAAATTTTGTATTTTGAACATTTTACTGATCGTTTTGATACTTTTAAGTGAATTTCGGAAATTGCTGATCAAAATAGCTTCTTATAACTTTCGTTTTCTGTATATATAACACAGACTCCACATGCACTAAGCATGACATCACTAGTCCCGAATCATGTACACAAGACTCCTTGGTCGATATCATTTCCAACGCTTTCTCTTTACCAATAACATTATAGTGTAATTTAGTTAAAGCAAACTCTTTTGGTGTCAATCATACAGCCTAGAACCAATCATGTTAACATCCATTATGACTTCGCCACTCTACTGGACGACACTGCCCTTACCCAACTAGTTGAGCACCCCACCAATATTCTTGATTTGCTCATTACCAACCTACCAAATCAAATATCTCGTGTAGAGGTCATTCCGGGACGTTCTGACCATGAGGCAGTATATGCCGAGTTCAATCTAACACCAATGAAACTTCATCAAAAACCAAAATCTGTACCAGTTAACAAAAACGCCAACTGGAATACTATCAAGCCTAAGCTCTGCACTGTCCATAACCTCCTAGAAATTGTTAATAACCATATTCCACATAAGACCGTCAAACCTAAACATAACCTCCCATAGATCACTCCAGAAATTAAAAAAATATTTAAATCCAGAGATAGGTTGCATGATTTTTTTTTTTTTAATCTGGAGATGTTCACACACAAAAGAAATCAGAGACCTGAAACATCTAGTACAGAAAAAAACTGCGTACATCTTACTGGAATTACATTGAAAACATAATATCCCCTGGTAATCCAGCAAATGACGGCAACTTTTCTAACATGAATCTTTTTTTGTTATACATAAAATCCAAGCGCACAGACTATAGTGGTATTTCTCAATTGAAAAAGATATTTAAGTGGCGGCGGCCAGATAAAATATTTTTCAGTAGTGGCACTCCAGGGCTTCCATACATACGTCCTAGGTGATATCTAACAATATCAAAGTAACACATAATATCATAGACGCCCGATCATACGTCCCAGATGAGATATCACAATATCAAAATAACATAATATCATAGACGCCCTATCATACGTCACAGATGAGATATCATGATATCAAAATAACACAAATAACACATAATATCATGGACGCCCGATCATACGTCCCAGATGAGATATCACAATATCAAAAAAATATACATAGCATGGACACCCGGTGTCATATCATATTTGTATCCCCCATTCCTAAAGTACCCGGGAGTACTTTTTTGTCCATCAGAAATGTATTCCCCCTATACTAGGAGGGGGATACATCCATGACGGTTATCAGAATAGTATCTAGAGAACAATTATCTGAAATATTAGGAAGGGGATACACTTATGAAAGTCATTAGAATAGTATGTAGGAGATATTTTATTCCGAAATATTATGGAGAGGGGCATATAATAATTCTATACTGTGTGTTCTTTTACTTTAAAATGCTCTGCATCTTTTTTGGAAGTCAAATTCAGTAGTACCTAAACTTTGTGTCACACAGGTACCTCCCTTTACACTTTATGTAAAAGGCCAAAGACCATATAGTTCCCCTCTGAGAAATGCAACTGGTCAGAATCCATCATCCTGGAAGCCTTGAATCCTTTACAGTTTACGGATAATAATTACAATGCACACAAGTCTTGGCTCAACATTATTTCAGGAACCAGTCTTTGGCTCATTAGAATACGAAACAAGAAGAAAAAAATCAGTCACTCTATCATTTCATTTATTATGTCACATGTAGTAGAAAGCATCAGGCTTTATAGAATGTGTACAAAAACAAGAGGCCCATAAGGTCTGTAACGCTCTGGATCTGAAAGCTCACCAATGTCATACATGCCTATAGGTTGGAATTTTAAATATTTCCAAATTAAAGCTCTGTCACTTAAGCTCTTCGATTGGGCAAAACCAATGGGTAAATTCTTATATCATTACTGTCTTTATCTCTTGATGTCCGTTATTGCTATATATTGTTAAATATAAACCTCGTTCCCCCTAGATATTTTTCTGACAACCGTCATTATATTTATCCCTCATAGATAAATGATAGATCTTCAAATTGAATTTCACAGTTGGCATTCACATTGCTCATTAATGCAGATTAAAGGTAATTCATTGTTCATGTATATAATTTTCAATATTCGGTTTAATTTGTTGTAAGATGATACAACTTCTTTGTTAATTTACATGTCGGTGTGGCGAGGAAATGAAACTCGGGATAAAGTTCATAATTATTTTCGTTTTAATGCACCGAAGCGAACTCCTATATTGTCAAGGTAAACAGTCGCACATGCGCATACGAAAAATACACAAAATCACTACTGTACCATTGTCAACCTACCCAGTTTCTATTTGACAACTGTAAATACGTACACCCGCTTGCGCCGTCGTCCAGCAACAGAACGAATAGTTGGAGAGACCGAAAGCCAGAAGAGGCGTGACGTAAGCAGGTGTGGAAACGCATTAAGCATGCAATGCAAGTGCATTTGATAAAATGCTGAGCCTGAACAATGAATAAAACTGCATCATACAGCTTTTTCGTCATTGTAGGACTCGTCAATGATCCTGAATCAATCAATATTGTATGTTTTCCCTTGGTAATGACACCCTTTTGATTTCACGAATTTCAGCATTTTATTTCAAGTACATTTACTTCTTTACAATGTTGCTTTTTAATTGGATGCGGTGGTATGGTATTATAGTTACTTTAACACATTTATATGGACCGTGGGTTTAGAAATTGTGCCAGGTCCCTGTGGATATAAAAATATTCTGAAGATTTATATTGTTGTGAACTGAACTGGTCTGTGGTTGGAAAGTGTGGCTACTTATAAATGATTTTTGTTGTTGTTGTTTGCTTTTACTGATTTTTTGATGTCCTATATAACATTTTCGTTAAAAAATATCTCGATGCTATGTAATGGTACACAAATGTAATGTATCTTACTGGTAAAGACCACCCTTCTCACAGAACCAGCCTGTCTACCATCGACTGACCCAGCGAGAACAAAACCCCGACACTTTTCTGTATATTTGGTGTTATTACGGGAAAATACTAATTGAATAGTATAAACATGTTTTACTATTTTCTGTTTTTTTAATTTTTATTTTGGTAAATATATCAACGGATTGTATGGTACATAACATGGACATACGGCTAGACACTTTTGTCACACGAGTGACAGTATAAACATGGTCATACAGCTAGACACCTTTTGTCACACGTGTGACAGTACATACATGGTCATACAGCTAGACACCTTTTGTCACACGTGTGACAGTACATACATGATCATACGGCTAGACACCTTTTGTCACACGAGTGACAGTAAACACAATGACATACAATTAGACACTTTTTTTCACACGAGTGACAGTACACACAAAAACGTTTTAAAACAGATAGAAAATATCTACTATACGATTTAGTAATCAGTTTTCTTTTTGGATTGTCATCTCCAGACGTCACAATAGTCTGGCAGTTTAGGCTCATGTATTTTTCAACTAAAATTGAACAAATTCTTAATTTCTTAGTACAGTACAGTACAGTACAGTACAGTACAGTATAGTATAGTATAGTATAGTATAGTATAGTATAGTACAGTACAGTATAGTATAGTATAGTAGTGTTTCTGGTATAGGAACACACAGTGTTCCTCTTCATCAGACTCAAAATTATATGATTGTGGTTAAAGTTCATTTCCCGGTTAGTTTACAGTAGCTCTATAATTATATACAATATATTGATTTTTCCAAAACGTATACAGTTTGTTTTTAAAAGTATTAATATTTGGAGCAGATACAATGTCTTCTGTAGGATTATTCCATGTTTTTACAGTTCTTATAGCAAAGCTATTTCCTCTTCTGTTGGTCCTGTGTTGTTGAAGAAAAAGTGTTTTAGAGTGTCCTCGACCACTTCTTATTCCGACGTCCATCTTAAGCTTTACAAAATTGCATGAATCCTTATCATATATACCAATTGTGATTTTATAGAGTTACATCATATCCCCCTAAGCCTTCTGTATGATAAAGTTGGAAGATTTAGCTTCTGTAGCCTGTCCTGGTACGACATATCCTTCATTCCAGGTAAACTTTTTGTGGCCCTTCGTTGAACTGACTCCAGCTTATCTATATCTTTCTCTTTTACTGGTGACCAAACAGAACTTGCGTAATCCAGTTGTGATCTCATCAAGCTTTTTTACAGCGGAAGAAAAGTTTTAGAAATCATAAACTGAACAATCCGAAAATTTGATTTGTTTTCTTCACTTTTTCCACTTATGTGGTCTTGGAAAGAAAGTTCAGAATCTACCGTTACTCCAATGTCTTTGTCCTTATCAGTGACTCTTAGACTATTCCCCAGTAAATGGTACTTTGCTCCTGTTCCATATATCTGTGCAGTATCTTGTCCGACCAACATATGTTTGCATTTATCCGGATATAATTATAATAGCCATTTCTCACTCCATTTTATTTCATTATATGGTATTTAGATCTTGAAGTATTGCTTTGTCTTCTTCTCTCTTGATTACCCTGAATTTTTTTGTATCGTCTGCAAATATATACATATCTGATTTTACAATATCTGGTAAATCATTTACGAAAATGACAAACAGCAGGGGGCCAAGGACTTGTTTGCACGTTTACTGTGAAACCAACTTTTATCTTTATAGTACGCATGTTTTGCATAAGGAAAAATGTATGAGGAAATCATGTTCTGCTGTGGCGGGCGAGTTGTTAGAGAAACGATCGATATTTAAAAGATTGGTGTTTGGGAAAAACATGATAAATCATCTTTCTCGTGAGCTAGCCTAACGGCCCTAGTGCTTAAGAAATAGATACAATTGTCATTTGGGCAAAAAGGCTACGACGTCAGAGTTTAGAACTCATTTTCACGGGAGGTAAAGAAAGTATGAAAGGTGCGCGTGACAAAGTTCTAGAGCAGACGACAAAACAGCTGTTCTATGGGGAAATGCTTCCAAACTTTTATGACGCGTTCCTGAAGCCACCAGTGCATGCCAGTAACTACCCAAAAGATGAACGAACTAATGACACAATAAGTGCTTGTGACGATTTATACAGGACAAGAAAATTGGCCATCAAAAGACCGTTTTCAAAAGTTTGGGAGAAAGTGAAAGTGCTAGAAATGCCAGACATACATCATGATTTCCTTTTTTCAAGTCAGAAAGTATGCGAACAACACAAAATAGAACAAGCTGTTCAAGCAAAGAGGCCTCGTCGATTATATATTGGTGATCATCATCCAATGGACTTAAAAGAATCTAGGTCTTCCTTTAGGATTTTCACAGGAATAGGGAACAGGTGTTCAACCAACAAGCCTAAGTCATTTTTAGAAGTTAAACAGACAACTCAACAACGTTTCGTTGTAAAAGAAAAGGAAATGGCAGCCTTTTTCAAACTTACGAGTAAGCACTATTAAAAATCTCTTATTTTTAACGATATTTTCACCACCAAGAATATGTATTATATTACTTACTTAGACTTACTCAGATCCAAATTTTGTCTTGCTAAACTATTCATGTAGTCACTCCTAGTTGATGAAATGTTCGGTTGGCTGTTCACTACCCTGAATATTACAGTATAATACATCCCTGTTGTCACCGATTCAAGTTATTTTTCACTTTCTTCTACTATTTCAGATGATGAGCATGTACAAGACTTCCTTTATATGGATAAGTGTAGAAAAATATCTGACAAGGTAAGACTATTGCATTTCATTCTTATGTCTATATATTCTGCTGCTGAGTAGAGGAAATTTCCATGACATGTATTGTGCTGTCTGGTTCAATGATTGTTGACATAACATTGTCCACTAGGACTAGCAACCAATTTGCTAACTGCAGATAAGAACAGTAGTCAGTGATATGCTGCAGTATTCACTCATTGTCCTACAATACAATCAAACCTCGTTTTATTGAAGTTGGCAGGGCCACAGAAAAACTTTGAGATAATCAAGTATTTGATTTAAGCTAGTTCAAATGTTTGGGATGAAGTTTGATGGGGACCAACAAAATACTTTGAGTTAAACACTGATTGAAGGTAAAAAGAACCTTAAATTAGTAAAATTCAATATTTGTATCCCCAGTTATGAAAAACTCTTCAATATAAATATATTGTTAAGGGTAAACTGTACCCCAGTTTCAAAATACAAGGGAAACATTGATGTAGGTAGCTCTGGGACTTACATTGCATGATTGTCATCATATTTGCTGATGATTTAGCAGATCAGCAACTATTTTGCTGATGGTAACCACAGAATAATAACCAGCTTATAATTTATTGTTTGATTTTACAGGACTGGCTCATGTTTCCAATTTTTTATGTCTATGGTAAAATGTAAATGACTTTTATTTCAGTATTTGGTGGCCATGGTCTTTGCCTTTTTTAAAAGAGCACAGTTGAAGATCAGAGAGTACACACGCATGAACTTCTTTATTGCATTGTAAGTGAGAAAAAACACTGTAAGTCTGCATGACCACCAAGCTAGAAATAGTAAAATTGACTTGAAAATCAAACTATAAGTGCTAGCCATAAAAAATCAAAGACACTTTGTCAATGGGAAGTTTCTAATTATTCGAATTAATGTTGTGAATTTTTATACTCTCTAGCAAGTAATAATTATACTTATTAAGTACTTGTAGAAGATAATTGTAAATTGAAGTTGTAGCTATTATTTCAGGTATTTGGCAAATGATATGGAAGAAGATGAAGAAGAGGCTAAATATGAAATTTTCCCATGGGCTCTTGGTCACAAATGGAGGGACAGGTTTCCTAGATTCCTAAGAAGAAGAGACTTGTTCTGGGCTAAGATTGGATACAAAGCTGTTGTAAGCAAGCGTTGTTGTGAAGAGGTAGATAACGTTTTGTATTTGAAACTTGGGTGTGAATATGAGGATTAATCATCATCTTAAATGTACTGAACCATGACCATCCATGGCTGATATTTGTTGTGCATTATACAAATTCAAAATGCTTTCTAAACAAAAGAAACTTAATAAACACATTTTGAACATGACTGTGAACTTGGTAGTGATACCATTACTAGAATGTTTTTATTGCAGATCATGGAAATAGACAGAGAATCTCCGTTATGGAGAAGAAATCGTCCACTCCATCATGCTGGAGCAGTGAGGAGTTACAATAAAGACCCTGATGATGACGGCTACCCTAGAGGACCAGAAGCATCTCCAAAGTTCTGTCAAGACTGCAACATTGACAGTCAGTACCTTTCTACTGCTAGTCCTGCATCATGTATTCTGTCTTCTGTGGAACAATCTCCTATATTTTTTGATGGGCAAAATTCAACTTTTGATATGAAACGTAAGTTATTTGAATTAACTGCCCTTATAGAAATCATTGTATGTTTAGAATCCTGGTCTGTCATTTATCCAAGTATTAATATACCAGTCCAAATAAAAACAAAAATATGGACGAGACATGTTATTGTATGGCATCATCCATCCAACATTAACCTGCACTGAAGTTGGGGTTATATGGTATTTAGCTATTCGCCTTGTCACTAATGAGGTTTCCAAAGCATATCTCAAAACACTGTGTAATATCTGGATGTCAAACTTGGAAAAAAGAAACAATATGAGAATGTGTAATCACACTCAAGAGTTGAAAAGTGTTTACAGTCTCTACTGGACCTTTGAACTTGATTGTAAGTAAAGCAAAATGCATGTTGGTTTCTCATCCACTGTTTCATATCTGGTCATTGAACTTAAAAAGTAGGTACAACATGAGACTGTAGTGTGAAGTGGTCATTATGACCTCTTCTTGACCTCTTATCTTAATCTGAATGCCAACAAACCCAACATATTGATACAGGTTTCCAGAGTATATGGCTACCATTTCCACGAAATCCATGCGACAAGTTAAACCAAAAGTTTGTCAGATTTATTTGATGTTTGTCTAATCCCTTGGGAACTCTGTAGGCATTATCAGAGGGAAATTCCACTCAAATCTCCTCTTTTATAGGTTTTATTAAAAGCCCTGATGTAGAGATGATTACAAAATATAGCCTCACTTTAATATCAACAGATTCCATATCAAATATTATAAAAACATTCGTTTTTTCCTTCACAGCTCTAAAGATCACTCTGCCACAAGATGATGCTTGGCCAAATTTAGAGGAATGATAACTAGATGAAAAGGAAAGACAGAAAATCATCTGAAATCTCTTCAACTATCAAACTTTGTGATAATACTCGGTTTCTTTGGAATAAATTTAAGTGCTGGCTGCTTAATAAGTATCGGACTGTTTTACATATTAAAGCCATTTGCAATGCTATTATGTAGTTTTTCATTTTTATAAAAGGTAGTGGGTGAATGATGAAGTTTTAATTACATCAATCTATTTTCTCTTTGATAGTCATAAATTTCTCCCCTTTCAGTTTGAATGAAGGGAGACATTGAATTGTATTAGAAATGCCATTCTTCTGGATATTCTAATTTCTTGTTGGAAAGATACCACTTCTAAACTGTTTAAGTTATCTTGACGAAACTTACAGCAAACTTGCATCACCCATAGCCAATGTGCAGTGCACTGCTATAAGGTTACTAATATGCTGAAATCAAGGTCAAAGGTCAAATAAGTGCAATTTTTCAAATAACTTCTTGACCAGGCCATAACTTTCAAGGTTAAAAATAGCTCTATGAAAGTTGCTGGATACCTTTATCACCCACACACAAAGTGTAATGCTTCATTATTGGATCATTGTAACCTTTGTTCATACTTTTCAAATAACTTCTTGTCCAGGAAATAACATTTAAACTGTTGAATATATCTTGAAAAAAGAGTGTAGTGCTGTTTTGTTTTATCATTGTGACCTTGATTTCAAGGTTAAAGGTCAAAGAAGTTCTCAATTTTCCAATTACTTCTGATCAGACATTGTGTTTCAAACTGTGAAGATATCTTAATGAAAATTGTTGTATACTTTTGTCACCCACAGTGCTCTATCACTGAATCATTAGAACTTTCATTTTCAGGTCAAAAGTTAATAAAAACTATGTTAACAAAAACAAATTGCTAGATTATTACACTTGTCTAGATTAAAGCCAAAGATCTCTATGTTGATGATCTTTGTGTATTACTGAAGCCATTTGTAAATGACATACATCTAAAATAATGATGAGGTATTGTGATACATTTTATGCTAATGTACAATCCAAATATTATTACCAGAGACTTCTTGCTTAATATAATCTGTTGACACATACAACCCTTTTGACATTTTACCCAATTTCTTGGCATACAAACAATTTCTGTACACAAGAGTTTATATTAAACTGTCTTGCTACTGTGTGATTCTGCTCAACAATTGTAAAATTAAAACAAATACTTATTTACCATTAATAGCAAAACACTTTATTAACAAGAATATTTCAGATTGTACATATACATATATATTTATTCAACAATGTTATATTAAATGCACAGCAAAGCAACAAATATGGCAACATCTGTATAACAACATAGGAACAAACAAATAATACCACATTAAAAAATTAAAATGTATGGAATTTAAACTAAATAAGATTCTTCTTTACTTTTACTTTAGTTTTGTTCACCATCTAAAATCCAACCTCCAAAGTGGATTCAAGTAAAATTTGTTTCAATAAACACGATATTAGCAGTTTTCACTGGACTAATAGATTGAATATCAAAATTGTAGTATATAATAAAAATTTTAAGTGACTTTGCTTCTTAAAACTAAAACAATATTGGTCAGGCCAATTCATTCAAATATTTAAAAATATATTTCAAAGACATGAATACTCCCATTCCTATGCAAACAGGTATTTTTGTTACAGTACTGTAGGCAGAATATGAACCAAATCTGTACTGAAGTCCATGAAATTTTTTGTACTCAACCTTTATGTTGTCAAATGTAGTCTTTGACCATTTCACTAAGATGGATGACCACCAGAATCTGATCCTGTATAAAACTTGATGCTGAGATACTATGTATGATGTGAACATGAAATATCTTGTACACAACATTTTTATTCCAAGAGTTGTCAAATGTGACCTTTGACTGTTTAATCTTGACCAATGAGCACCTTAATATGATCAGGTGTAGAACTTAATATCAATATGAACCAAACCCACTGAGAGATTCTCAAGTGTGAATTTGATTTGGAAGAGGATGCAATAGGGCAGGAAACACTGTATATACCCCCTCTTAAAGAGATGGCAGATGGCATATAACAAAACTGGATCAAATTGTGTTAATAATGCAGAGGTTGGAGGGAGGGGGGGGGGGGGGGGGGTTGGCTCTACTGAAATTATGAAAACATCAAGTTATATGGATCTCCTAATCCTTCCAATTAAGCCATGCTCATTTGCAGCCATAGCACTTTTTTGTCACTTTTAAAATACAATGATATATGTCTGAGAAAATGAAATGGAAGAGCAGATGATGGACAATGAACACATGATCACAGCATGCTTTTTTATCTTTCAGACAGCTACTGGTTATTATCATTGTTTTAACTGACAAGTTAAAAGGTATTAAACTTTTGGTGTGCAACATCATATTTGATTTACCAAAGCTGTCATTGTCGCTCTAGGTGTTCCTTTAAATGTTCTTCAGCTTCCTGTAATGATACAAACATGATTTCTTTAAAGAAAAAGCACTACTAAAGCACAAAACTGTCCAGTAGTTTGTTAATGGCAAAGGAAATTAAAGGTATTATAGAAAAAATTGTCGAAAATAGAAATATTGAACAATCCTATATAAAATATAAACCCTTATAAATATTGGCCACATTCAATTCATGCTAAAGTGAATACCAGATAGTGGTATGCAGTGGTAATAAAACAGGGAAACTCTTGTCATAAACTTGTAGCCAGAACACTGATGTCTGCTGGTAAGAAAGCACCTCGCAATGGAAGAGTCAAGGAAATGAAAGACCTGTAACTAACCAACCCACCAATCAACTTTTCATAAAGACACTGTAGCTGTGACTATAAAACATCGATGATGTTACACAATTGTTAGGAACACGAATTCTCATCTTGTTCCAAATGTGTAAAAAATGTATGTAGTTAAACCTTAAAAGAATATCTAGCAACAAAATTCAGTCTGCAGTCAACATTAAGCACTGCAGATAAGAAATGAGTTTGTCTAGTTGCAATTGTTTACCCACTGACTGTATTTTCGTGTGACTTCTCCACCTGACAGGTATGAGTAATGGTGATAAGTCATGATTGGTATGTTGTCATCATGATTGCCTATCATTGATTATGAAACAAAAATTATTTTGGACCCTACCATTTTCTCCCTCACATGGGGTTTCAGTCTGAAAACTAAAAAATCTACTTTTTGTGGAAAATTGATCAATAATTCAGTTTGAGCCATGTTGCAAAGGAAAATATTGATGGAACACACAGTCCTTAAATGTCAAATGAATTCAAAATGTGGATTAGTGCAAATCCTGACAGAAAATTAACCCTGCAATCATAACTTTTCAATTTTGTTCCAACTCTGCAAACTAAACCAACATCAAGTGAACAAAACACATACCTTACTACTCTGATATGTTGAGAGTCGGTTAGTACAGCCCTTCCAGGGACAATTAAATAAACGAGAGTTGAGAGAAAGATGGTCTGACACCATGTGATGGAACAGGTGCCCCTTCAGTCCAAATGAGTATGAGCAATCACCACACTACAAAAAACACCAATTTAGCAGGTATAAAATTAATAGGCAGAAACAAGCTCATTGTTGTCGGTTGTGTATACAGAAACTAGCTGTTATCATTGTGTTGTAAGTTGTGTATACAGAAACTAGCTGTTATCATTGTGTTGTAAGTTGTGTATACAGAAACTAGCTGTTATCATTGTGTTGTAAGTTGTGTATACAGAAACTAGCTGTTATCATTGCTGTAGGTTGTGTATAAAGAAACTAGCTGTTATCATAGTGTTGTAAGTTGTGTATACAGAAACTAGCTGTTATCATTGCTGTAGGTTGTGTATACAGAAACTAGCTGTTATCATTGCTGTAGGTTGTGTATACATAACTAGCTGTTATCATTGTTGTAGGTTGTGTAACTTTTGTACCTACTGATAAATCAAACAGCCTACAGTCATGATATTTGGATTGTGGCTCATTTTAGACATCTTCTTTTATTCAAAGTTACAACGGTCTCAATTGATCTATGGTTAAAATTTTAGAATAGCACTGAGTCTTGTTTTTGGTTGCCATTTCGGTATGAAATTGTCTAGTTATAGGAACATGAATGAAACACAACTAATCATATCCTCACAAAATTAATATTATACATCAGAATTGTTTTGTTTTCTCACCTGACATCTGTTTGGATTGGTTTCCATTGTTAACATTTCCACCACTCCTTCCTTGTTACCATACAGAATCTGTTAACAAGCAATGTCACAGAATGAAGTGTTCCCTGCTTAGATAGCATTCTTAACATATAAAGGTCTTCATTGAAAAAAAAAAAAAACAGGAAAGAAATGAATGCTTTACTTTGTCCTGCTGTGTAATATGAGAATGTTAAAGGTAAGGATAGAAAATTATATTGATATGGATTCCGTTGTGCTTCTATGTTACATAAATAAGTAAACGTTAGGGACAGAAGACTACGTGGGTATGTTTTCCTTACCTTGTCCTTTTGTGTGACAATGTTAGAGAGAACAGGAGATTTCCCCACATAAAACAGACAGTAGAGCTGATGATTCTGCGTAAAAAGAAAGAAGCAAAATAAAATAAATAAGAAACATATAGGAGTAAGCTTCCAATATCATACATCACCTATCTATATGACCTCATACTTGAAATATAAAATATAAGTCAATCCTGAAAAGTTCAAGATTACCTATGAGCTCCCTTACTAAATTAAACCTTAAGTATTATATTTTGATGTAGATATCACTGAGGAATAAAGCTATGCATTACCCTGTGCCCAGAAACTTTAAAAAATTCAAACAAATGACACTGAATGTAAAGAAATTGATAAGATAATTATGTATACCATTGTTCATTACAGAAAGAGGAGTATTTCCATATATATATATATATGTAAACTCACCTTTGTGATGTAATCTCACTTGTCTATTGTTACACCAGGTGCAAAATCATCTGTCTGTTGTATCACCTGGCATTACCTCACCTGTCTATTGTAACATCTTACATAACCTCACCTGTCTACTGTACAACCAGGTGTAAACTTTCCTGTCTATTGTAACACCTACTGTAAACTAACCTGTCTGTTGTAACACCTGATGTACTGGTCTTGTCCCCCATAAAACAAATGTCCTTGTTTGTCTGTAGTTACACCACGAACCAAACCTTCACCTTCTCCATAGCTCCAAGAAACCTCACTGGTCTGTAACCAAACGGGAACCAGACATATATCAGCTTTTCAAACAAATACAAATGTAAGCCCATTGAGAATAAAACAAGAATTCCGCGGAAGTGGATGTAATTCTGGAGTTGAGTTTTATGGAACAATAGCCATGATAGATATTCATTGTATTTATTCTATTCATATAATTTGTTTTGCTCCAAATACGGCAGGAACAGGGACAACCCAATCTCAAAGGCAATCTCAAACAAGCTTACAGTTAGTGTTGCATGCAACACATGTCCCCTGCCGTAAATTATTGTATTTATCAGTAAATAAGCCAATGTCTGCTAATAAGCCCACCAATGTTCTGTTGTAAAGCAAATGGGAGCAAATGCTACTTAACTGTTCGCAATAAGCTTACCCTTTACTATGGATCTGAGTTTATATGTTGGCCCCATGATCTAATTGCAGTATAAATACATTATTTTTTCAAGTAATGTAGAACTTGTTCTGTATCAGAAGTGTCTTGTTTTATTATTTATAAGCTTCCAGTGGATCTAGTTTCAACCAAATCCATCCATCCGTTCTCAAATTATTGTCTGAAAACTAAATTGTGATAAGATTCTATTTTTAGTAACAGTGACCTTTGTTGTTGATCTTTTGTTCCCAAACAAAATCCCACACTAAATTGCCTTATAAACTACCATTGTATGAAGTTTGATCCAAATCCATCAATCTGTTCTCAAGTTATCGTCTGGAAACCAACATTCGGACAGACAGACGGACAGACGGAGACAAACACTATAGTCCCCTACAGTTTCACCGGCAGGGGACTAATACGCTCCTTTGGTTAAGAAGCATTGTATGAAGTTTGAGTCTAATTGTCAATAGAAAACTATAGTAATCACACAAAACCAATTTTCTTTCTACAGCTACAATGACCTTGACCTTTGACCTTCTGACCAAAAGCAATCCCGAGCATGTACTTTTGGTAAGGTTATTGTACAAATTTTTTTCTATTTATAGTAACAGTGACCTTTGACCTTCAAACCTAAAAAGCAATCCCTAGCAAGCCCCTTTGGTAAGGAAACACTGCATGAGTTTTTGAGGTAGATCAACCAAAGTGAGCTGAAGTTATCGCGAAAAAAACCTTTGTGCAGACAACGGTGCTGACATAGTAATACCTATATGTCGCCTTTGGCAGGCGACACAAAAAGCGTCCAATCTTAGTGTAATCCCCTTGTCAGTACCAAAGTTTCTAAAACTACCAAGTAATGTATAAAAAAATGCTTGTAGATTCCAAGTTTTTTTCCAAGTAATTAAATGTCAGCAAATGACTCCTACATAATACAGTGTTCAGGTCTATCCTGTAAGATAAAGATAAACGTCTGATAATGACACTACAGTCAATAAATAATGATTGTTATGTAATTGTATCTAAGTGAACCACATATTAGTTAAATGGTTGTCTTGCTGCATGTACACTTTGAGAAAGATTTTGTCTTACCAACAAATTATGTTCTATGACCTTTCTGTCCCCTGATCCACTGTACACCATGTGACCAACAACCTACAAACGATAAAATACAATGTCTCATACTTCTCTAGAGGTTATCTGTAGTAACATCACTGTATTGAGACTAAAGAATGTGAACAAGACTCACAATACCTAACGCCTGCTGCACTTGTGAAGTCATTTAAATTGAAGAGGATTATATGTAACAATAACAAAAATATAAAACATGCACGTTGAAGTCGCTTTTCTCTTCATTAACATCATCTTTTTTGTCTTTCATTAGTTTTTCCCTGATCCCTTTCCAAATATGCCCAGGACATAAGATTGAAAAGCGCATACAGGATATAGTTCAGTTACCCTTATGATATTGACCTTTGCCTTACCTGTGTACAGACCAGGACTTAATAAGATTGATATTCTGCTTACCTCCATGCAGAAGACAGTCTTGCTATGGCCTTCCAACATACGAAGGAGTAGGCCAGAGATGGCATCACACACATAGATCGGTGAGGTGTAGGCAGCTACCAGAAGGATTTTTCGAACACCTTCCAGGCCAGAAGCAATACAGGTAACAGACTGATCACAGCATTGGAAACTCTCAAATGTCTTCCCAGTCTAAAACATCACAGAACATCAAGTTAATTACTTATTCTACAGTAAAAGAAACCTCTAATAAGGACGTAAAACATCCGTTTCTATAAAGGATGATATGATCTCATGCGCCTGTTATCTGGACATTGTGCAATCATATGACGAATTATCTCTGTAATATTGCAAATGAATTCCAATGGAAATTCTACAACCCATGGCTTCCTGTAGCATGAATGTGTCTTCCTGTTATTTGTTACACAGAAAGATTCTTGTATGTCTATGCAGTTGTATTTATTTGATTTCAAGACAAGATTAGTATTAAATAACCCATAGTTAAATAAATGAACAAAACACTCCGCTTTGTCAGTAGTAACGCAGTTTCCCCAGTTTTCCCAACATGTTTGTTTGTGACTTACTTTTGCATCCTTTCCAATGACAGCGCCATAGTCAGTACCCAGATAGAGACGGCCCCATGATTCATGCATACACTGTACTTGATAAATCAACTCCATGTCCTTTAGTATAGCATATGTCTGTAAAATAGATGATCAGGACTATTGCTGGTTTTTACCCATTTGGAGTTCTGCCTCTAAGTACCCAGAGGGGAGGGCAGCATCATTTCAAGCAAGTTTGGTTAAATGTCACCAAACAATGAACATTGTTTGGATACAAAAGATTTCCATTGGTTAAGGACATGGTGTACGTGTGACAAAAAAAAATGATGTTTCAAATGCATATACCTACCAGTTGAAATAAAAAATGAGTGGACACCTGTGAACACTAAAAAAACAAGCCCCTAATAATTACACCTGGTGATTAAATGTAAGTACTGCTTTATTGTCGCACGTGTTGTTGTTTTTTTTTTTCCAAAAAAGTGGAGGGGGCTTAATTGCGAAGACCCCTCCTATTCCTGGCAAATTGGAAAAAGCGGTGGGGGGTGCTTATTTGCAGTGAAATACGGTATACAAAATAGTGACAGTTTCAGAAAAAATTGGCAGTTTTGCAACTTCAAAGGGTCAATAATCTTTGACCCCCATGACTTTGAAACTTTGTGATCAAAACAACTTTTACAGCAACCCTTCAAATCTTGAATATATTCCTTTTCAAAGATTTTGGAGAAAATTGGCAGTTTTACTTCTAAGTGTTGAGGACATTTGACCTTTGAATTGGAATGTTATTGCTGTTTCAGTATTTCGGAACTCCTCAAACATTACCCTACACAACTGGAGGCTAAATAGCATATCCAAAGACCACAAATTTTGCTACAATGTATTTTGATGCCCTTTCCAGTAATGATCCAAGTGATTCTGTTTGGTTTAAATCAGCCCAGCAGTTTTTGAAAAGAAGCTGAAAATGTTGAAAAGTGAACAGACCACCAATGACACACAACAATCTTTGGCTCAGATGACCTAACAAGGTAGATGAAAATCAACATTTATTATCATGCAGAAATTATGTGATTTCTTGTAAACATAAACAAATACAGTAAGGTAACATATGATTGTTTTCATCTTCGCATGTTAATTGGCAAAAAAAAAATGTTCCTACCTCACAATCAAATAAAAACAGTCTTTCAGAAGGTCCACATGCATACATGCAAAGCTTTTTGTCAATGGTGACCACGGCAAGACTTCGAACGCAGCATGGGCTACAATCATATTGGCCTAAAAGAGCACCACTCTGGAAAAGAAACCCAAATATATTACTGTCCCATCTAAAATCATTTTGAGAAAACTAAACATACCTTTAATGTTACTTTGAACAAAATAAATATATAGGTTACAGCTGAGCAATATTTCAGTACAGAGTGTTTAAGTAGAATATCTTAAAATCAGTATTTTAACTGTAGTATGGATAAACAGTATTACAAAAAGATAACCAACCAAATTGATTATCATGAAAAAATTGTGTTTTGTTGTCATTACCTCTAAATTGAAGCGGCATGGGTTGGATTTCTGATAGGCCACAAACACACTTTCTCCAGCCACCTGTATTTGAGTGACTGAATCAGCTGGTCCCACTAGCTGCTTTATAGAATCATCAATACGTCCCTTGTCTGATGACCGAGCAATTGTACTTTTTACTGCTGCCCGAACAGATGCCAGTCTTTCAGGTCCCAGTTTGAATCTATAAATACAAAATACAGCTTTAAAAACTAATAACAATAGATGCTTCATAAACATATTAATTTCAAAACAGGCATATACAGAGATGAAATATACTGTACATATAAATGTACATATTGACAGATTTTTTTATATAGAACAGATCTGCTACCTGTATTCTCATTGAACTTTTGCTGTGTATAAAGCTTCTTAATACTGATAATTTATTAATGATCATCTAACTGAGAGTGGTACAGCTGACTAAACCTGTTGCATGCTCTCCATCTGTTCATCAAAAATTCAGCTCAAAGTATCATTATTTTATCAGTGTGCCCCTCCCCTAAGGCTGGATTAGGGTTCAACCGCTGAAGGACATGATATACAAATGTTCTTTAACCTCTGACAAAGAGCTACCTCTCACCTTTGACTCCTGACAGGGTGGACATTTTCCTCAGATTCAAAGGTACTGTCCAGCTGAACGTCCTCAAGCAGACTACGTCTTGGCACTGTGACATGTGCAGCACCATCTTCTGAGCCAGTCTCCACCATACAAACGTCCTCAAGTTCCTCAGGCGCCCTCTACCATAAAAGACAGACAATACATTTTATAAACCTTAAACTATACATGACAGACAATACATACAAGGGAGATAATACATTTTATAACTAAGGGATTCAGTGGTTACTACTGAACAATCTATGCTACAGCAACCTCTATATGCAAGGTTCCACACCAGATCTGTAGACAGAAGCATGATATCAGCCAAGATTCAACAGCTTGTTTAAAGTTATCCCTGGGAGAAGACGTTACTGAAGACTACTTTAAAAAAAAACTACTCTTTCATGCTTGACTGGAACACTTGTGTGCATCACTTAACATTCACCAACTTTGTCTAGAATTGCTCATGATATCAAGCCTCATTTTGATTATGGTAAATTGTTCCAAAGCTCTAAATTGAGATATCATTCAGTATAAACCCCAAAAAGTTACTCATGAAATTAAAAGATTGGTCAGACTGCTTAGCTAATACAAAAGTCAAGATGACACAGCAACATTATTACTGGTTACTATGGCACAGTAAGTTAAAAGAATTCAGTGGTGTTTGGCTCACTAGATTCTGAATAGTTTTCTTTGTTTAAGAGCTACACAAGGCAATGGTTCTAGTGGAAAGGCAAGCATCTACAAAACAAAAGTCAACATACACTCATAATGATGAATCATTTACACCTTAACTCACCTAATACTAGGACAATATTGCTTAAAAACCAATTAAAGAAAGGTTCACCATCTGAAAGATCTCAAATTATACACCTGAGTCGTGTTCACTCTTATGAATTATCACCAATCTTGATACCTATATGCCAATATACATGTATATTAACTCTGAAAAGAAGAGCATCACCTTCCGAAGCCAGATAGGCCAATAGTATATCCTATTTTCTTCTACAACTGATATGTTACAGCCTTACAAGCAGGTCATCATCAGGGCACAGCTAACATTGTATACATGTAGTCAGGAGTGTGGAGCTTTGGGATTCTGAGATCATTTACCTGAAAAAGCATCCTCTGTCGAAGTTCTGTCAGGGGAATGTTGTCATCATCCTGCCCGCTACACTCTGAACTGCTGTTAATTACAAATTCTTCTTTCTGTTTACGTTTTGATGATAAGTCCCGCTCTTTCTTGGTTTTCCTACGTTTCCGCGATGGTGAAGAGTTGCGGTCATCTGACACAGATGGAGACACAGGAGGTTTGCTCTGTTGTCTGTCTGGCATGTTAGCCTCACTGTTTGATCCTTTAAGGGTGTGATCACTGCCAGAGTCCAGCTGGGTGGAGTCTCGGCGGTTTTCCTTGCAGTATTGGCGTATCTTTTCCCCAAGAGACACATTACTAGCAACACTGTCCTGGTTGGAGTCTGTTTCTAACACTATCTCATCACTTTTTAAACTTGACTCACTCCTGTAGCCTTGGTCAGATTTGCTGCTCTTTAGAAAAGACTGAAGTTTTTCAAACATATCCTCTTTCTGTCCAGTAAACAAATTGCCAGGTAACTGACCCATGTACTGGACATTGACCTTGGGCTGTGTATTTTCAGCAACCTTATTTAGTCTTGGTTGCGTGAATTCTACTGTGGTGCTGGACACAGCACCACTAGATATTTGATCATCGGTAGTCAATGCAGACCTTTCCTGTTCCTTCACTGGCTTTATCCCCTCTGAATTACTGGCCCGTAATAAAGACTTGAGAGTAATGAATCCTGATTCCTTAAGTTCTGCACTTCCTACAACTGACACAGACTGGCCAATCTCAAACTGACTCTTGGTGACTCCAGACGTGTCCTTGGTCTGTTCTAGCAACCCTTCACAGTCTTTACTAGACTCTGATGACTTACTGTCTTTTATTAAGTCAACCGACCTTTCAGTGCCTCGATTAGGACCATATGACTGTACATCTTTATCCTCAGATTTAAATGACTTTATATTATCTTTACTTATCTCCCCTGAGCTTACAATGTCTCTAGTAGGAACAGCTGACTTCCCACCATCTCTGGTACGATCAGTTGTCCTTGAAGCTTCCTTAGTGGACTCAAATGTCTTTAGGGTATGTTTGTTAGGCTCTATAAAACCTTCACTGTCTCTAGTAGGTTGTAAAGGTGGTGGAAGAGCCTGGAAGATTGCCGGGTTGATTCGCTGACTACTTAGAGGTGAGGAGAATCCACCCATTCCTTTGTGCTTTCCACTAGAATCTGAGGAATCACTCAAAACAAGAAGACTGTCGGAAACATTGCCATTCTTTGGTGCTCCTTTTTGATCATGTGAAAATGAAGACAATGCTGAAACCTTGGTAAAGTTGGAGTCCCTGCTAGAGTCAAGATCACAAGAGTCTGTCATAAAGGCCCTCTCTCTCTCAGGACCATCATCTGAGGTAGCTACACACAGTCTCTCTACAGACTTAGCCGCAATATCCATGGGCAAGTTCTGCAGACTTTTGGCCTCTGAAAATGTATTTTAACATGAGAAGTAAATTGATTTCATTATGTACAAGAGGCCCATGCGTCTTAATGGTTTAGTTCAATGGAAAATTAGGACCATCTGAGAATTATTTCGGGCAAGTTTTAACACAAACCCACAGGTGGAACTTCAAAATAGCTTCATTTCACAAAATGGCCATCATGGGTGCCATATTGATCTTTTGAAGAGGCTGAAAAACAGCAACATTTTGCTGACTTCAAGTTTCTAAAAGTCACCTCTAACTTCCAATAAAATGGCGCCAGTAGGTACAACAAGTTTAAATAGCCGATCAGGACCATCTTAGGATCATTTCAAGCCAGTTTAAGCTCAATCCCACTTGCCAAACTTGAGTTAGAATACCAAAAAATAACCAGAGGATCACACATTTACCCCCTCCCTCCTCCTTCTTGACCCTTTTATCTAAATAGGTGACCTACAAAATCGCATCAAAAACTATTTCTATACAAGTGTTTACTAAACATAAAATAATGAGGTGGTGTCATGATTATATTTACACATTTTTTTTACATCACAACTGGTCAAGTTCAGCAAGCATCAGGGCAATTTCTAATGAAATTTTAAGTGTGCCATCAATTCCCCTAAACTCTCAGTCCACAAAGTCTATTACTAACCTCTCAGAACATGTAATCGACGACTTCTAATGGACTGCTCCTTTCTAGACAGCTGCAAAAGAAAACATCAAAATGAATCCACTTAAAAGATAATGGGTTTAAGCATCTTGTGTCTACCTTTGAACTCAGGAGGAACTTGCAAAGATTATGTTAGACCTACCTGTAAGTGGTGTACACATGTACCTCTATCTCTGATGCTCTGTCCCACCTCTAAGTGGTGTACACATGTACCTCTATCTCTGATGTTCAGACCTACCTGTAAGTGGTGTACACATGTACCTCTATCTCTGATGTTCAGACCTACCTGTAAGTGGTGTACACATGTACCTCTATCTCTGATGCTCAGACCTACCTGTAGGCAGTGTACACATGTACCTCTATCTCTGATGCTCAGACCTACCTGTAAGTGGTGTACACTTGTACCTCTATCTCTGATGCTCAGACTCACCTGTAAGTGGTGTACACATGTACCTCTATCTCTGATGCTCTGACCTACCTGTAGGCAGTGTACACATGTACCTCTATCTCTGATGCTCAGACCTACCTGTAAGTGGTGTACACATGTACCTCTATCTCTGATGCTCAGACCTACCTGTAAGTGGTGTACACATGTACCTGTATCTCTGATGTTCAAACCTACCTGTAAGTGGTGTACACATGTACCTCTATCGCTGATGCTCAGTCCTACCTGTAAGTGGTGTACACATGTACCTCTATCTCTGATCCTCAGACCTACCTGTAAGTGGTGTACACATGTACCTTTATCTCTGATGCTCAGACTTACCTGTAAGTGGTGTACACATGTACCTCTATCTCTGATGTTCAGACCTACCTGTAAGTGGTGTACACATGTACCTCTATCGCTGATGCTCAGACCTACCTGTAAGAGGTGTACACATGTACCTCTATCTCTGATGCTCAGACCTACCTGTAAGTGGTGTACACATGTACCTTTATCTCTGATGCTCAGACCTACCTGTAAGTGGTGTACACATGTACCTCTATCTCTGATGCTCAGACCTACCTGTAGGCAGTGTACACATGTACCTCTATCTCTGATGCTCAGACCCACCTGTAAGTGGTGTACACATGTACCTCTATCGCTGATGCTCAGACCTACCTGTAAGTGGTGTACACATGTACCTCTATCTCTGATGCTCAGACCTACCTGTAAGTGGTGTACACATGTACCTTTATCTTTGATGCTCAGACCTACCTGTAAGTGGTGTACACATGTACCTCTATCTCTGATGCTCAGACCTACCTGTAAGTGGTGTACACATGTACCTCTATCTCTGATGCTCAGACCTACCTGTAAGTGGTGTACACATCTACCTTTATCTCTGATGCTCAGACCCACCTGTAAGTGGTGTACACATGTACCTCTATCAGTGGCATGCATGTGCACTTCGATCTCCTGTGCTCAATCCTAACTAACGGTGATGAGGACATAAACTCCATCAATGATGCTCTGACCTACCTGTAGGTGACGCGTTCTTTGTGTGGAAAGCTGCTCTGTAGCTGTCTGTATGAGGGCAGTGAGGCGCATGATCTCAGACTCTGTGGATGTCATCTCCTGTCTTAGACTGTCCTCTTCCAAGCTTAGATCATACACAAGGTCAAACACACTTCCTGATGTGGAGCTTGATCCAGAGGCAGCAAAAGTCTCATCTTGAGCAGCATTGGTTGGATCTATTATTCCAACAGCAGGTTTGGAATCGTCATCATGTCCTAGAGTCTGACTAACAGACTCACCACAGTCTTTCACCCTAGGGCCTAGTATGTTTGTCACTTTACCAGTCATGCCTTGGTCAAGATCTAGCTTTCCTCTCCCGGATCTTTCAAGGTTGACTGATACAAGGGCAGCAGTGTCACCTGATCCTAACAAAAGTAAATTTTTTTGAACTCTCAGTTAATAAATCCCGTATTGATCTAATACATGATACTGCAACTTTATACAAAATATAGGAATCTATAACAAGAGACACAGCAGATCTGTAAAGTTCACCTGCTACTGTGCAGAATGTTAGTTATTTCATTCAAGTTTTTTGTACACAAAGCAAATATTTGAAACAAGAGGCCTAAGGGACCAGCATCGCTCTCACATGCAGCTATTCAGCCATTTAACACAGAAGTTCAAATCTGTAACACATGAGGACCACTTAAATACTGCAAATTGTTTCATTTAAAATTGATCAGTGAAATACAATTAATGTACATGAAGGCACACATACACATCTAAACATCGGAAAAAATGAAAACGTAAGCAGGCAATGGCGATTTCTTGTTGATTCCTGTTAAAAGTTGTTTTTTGTTTCATGAATGAAAATTTTGGTATTTGTTGTGTCTGTTCAGGTAGAAATATTGTGTCATCAACTAGGCCTGTAGTCATGAACATGAAAACATCAATATTACCTACCCATCTCGATGGGTTTTTATGCTAGCCTCTTTAAATTTTAAACATCCAAGTTTGACCAAACTTTGACAGCAACCTTGTATGGAAGAAGGATTTTAAAGAACTTACATTTCCCCTATTGGGGCCTCACATCTCTGATGTCAGACTCCTGGCTGATACAAAATTATGTTCCTTTCAACTAGGTATGCTTCAGACCGAGTCAGGACAGAATCAAGGTATTCCCTCAAAAGAAGTGTTTTAGAGAATTTCCTCTATTCCCATTACTTGACCTTGCCGAAGAGGGCAGAGACCCACTATTTATATCAAATTAATTTCCCTTGACCCAAGTAAGCTTCAGACCAAATATGGAGAGAATCCTGACACATTTACAACAGAAGAAAAATTGTTAAGAATTTGCCCCATTTCCCCTAATGGGCCCTGCCCCTCCAACTCCAGGGAGACATTACCCATCGATTATACAAATTGATTACCCTTCAGCTAAGCATGCTTAAGACCAAATTTGGACAACATTCTATCATCCTTATAAAAGGAGACAGTTATAAACAAATTTTCTCTATTTCCCCTCTGGGACCCCGTCTTTCTTGCTCTAAAGGGCAAAGACCACTATTTATACATAATTAATTTCTCTTCAAGCAAGGATGCTTCAGATCAAATTTGGATCAAGTCCAAACATTTCTACAGAACGAGTACAATTTTAAAAAATTTGCACTTATGCACCTATTGTGACCTGCACTTCAGGCCCTCAGAGGCTGACAACTCAACTTTATATAAGATTGATTCTCCTTCACCCAAGAATGCTTCAGACCACATTTGGGCAATATTCATTCATTCCTGATGGAGGCATAGGACTTTAAAGAATTTGCTCTATTTTCTCTCCTAGGCCCCACCCCTCCCATACCAAGGGGCTGAGACTTAATGTTCATACAAGATTGATTCCCCTTCACCCCTATTAGGCTCTGCCCTTCGGGCCCTAAGAGGCTGACACCTAACCTTTATGCAAGATTGATTCCCATTCACCCAAGAATGCTTCAGACCACATTTCGGCAATATCTGTTCATTCCTAAAGGAAGAGTAGGATTTTTTTAAATTTGCTCGATTTTCTCTACTAATCCCACTCCTTCCACCCAAAGGGGCCGAGATCTACTATTCATAAAAGTTTGATTCCCCTCCATACAAACAGGATTCTTCTGACCAAATTTGGTCAAAATCTGTTCAGTCCTTCAGGACTAGTAGCAGTAAAAAGTTGATTGATGCCAGACACTTGATGGATGTTGCACCTTCAGACCAAGTGACAATACCTATGTGTTTTACAGTTTTTATGTTTTCAGTGAAATGATGGGTGTAAACAGGATGAAGGATTGTACAGATTATAAATCACATGAATAATTTTTGGCTTTTACCTTTGCCTAAAACAGGCCCACTCTCTGTGGTTCTGGCTGTCCCAGAGTTCTCCCTGTCCTTTGTCCCAGTAATTGTCTCCTTGTCCACATCAATTGAGGGCCAAGTACGGTGATGTATGTAGGAGTTCTTGGATAAAAGAGGAGACCCAACTGGTTGTTTGGTGGACCCAAGGTCCTGCGATGGAGCCTGTAGAGGTGTGCTAGACAAATCTGCTAAACTTAGTTCTGACATCTCTCCACCCCAAACTGGTTCCAACTTGTCTTTTGACCAACAGGAGGCAGCAGTATTCCTTGACTCTAGGCTTTTCTCCACAGAGAATTCAAGTTTTTCTCCAGATACCACAGATTTGGATATATATTTAGAGGGTTCAAAGTCAGTCCGAGATCTGGGGTTCTCACATTCCAAACTCTCCTTTTCCTCGAGCGAACTGGAAGTGTTTCTAGGTTGCACTGGTTCTGATTTCACTTGGAGAGGTAGAGATTCACTTTGTGATTTACTCACAGGTACTGAAAACTGACTTGAAACATAATCAGTTTCTCCTGTATCCTTCAGTGATACAGGTTCACTGGTATCTTTCAAATGCTTGTTTTGAGATTTGTGTACCGACAAAACCACTTTTGACTTGCCACCATTTGATTTGTTCATGGCCCATGCCGGCTCTGACAGAGACACATCCTGTTCAGGCTCACTCAGTTCTTCAGATTTTATGCATAAAAGGGGATTACCCGTATAACTTGTGCCTTTGTCTGCTGGTGAGTTCAGATGGTGAAAACCTGCTTTCTCACGTACAGGTGAGTTACTGGGAACAGCTAATTTCATGCTCGGTGAACTTTTAGGATCTTGTAGTTTATTCCTGTCTACAAGGTCTTGTGTAGGTACAATGTCAGTATTTGATAGTATCTTGTTAACGTTAGGGGACTGTGCTTGCTCCTGATCAACACAAGTGGACTTTTGAGTTTCAAGCAAAAAAGCATCCAGAGAACTTATATCAGGCTTAATGTCTGCTTCTATTAACTCAGCAATTTGAAGCTGCACATCTGCAGATAAATTCTCAAGTCGTAACTCTGTTGCAACACCATCCAATTCTGCACTTAAGTCAGAAAGTTGCAAATTGAATCTTGGAAAAGATAACTTGTTTTGAGAGAAAGCGTAGGATCGGAGCATTTTAGCAAGTTTTTCTCTTTCTTTGCGAGATCTGGGAGAATTCACCATCTTTAATAAAGTGTCCTTGCTAGATTCAGGATCCAAATCTGTTGACAGGTCAGAACTTGCTCTACTGCTCTGACGACTCAGACTTTCTTGGTGTAGTGGTGAAAATGTTCCTATCCTCATAGGATTACTGCTTTCCTGTTCAGATACTGAGGTCTTGGTTACTTGAGAGTCATGTGGCTGAGCCTCATCTGAGCTCTGCTTCTTTAATTCTGATTCAACACTAGCCTTGTCCGATCTCCCTTTGCTGGATTTCTTATTGATAACAGGTTCATGGTTGGACTTAGATGATTTCCCTTCTAAATCTGAATCTTTTTCCCCTTCTTTCTCCTTCATTGACTGTTTTCCTGCATTAACCACCGACTCAATTCCTTTCCGAATATCGTCAATGTCATGTTCCTTCTGGGTCTTTGTCCTGACAAGTGAAGGTTTAGATAACTTATCACTATCTACTGCCACTGTGGGGATCTGTTCTTCACAGCCTGCAATGTGACCTCTCAGGTAACTTTGATTTATCTTAGATAAATTTTTTATTTGTGAATTTATTTCATTGGCCTTTTCCATTTTCTTTTGCCGTTCTTTCTTTTCTCTTTCTTTTTTGACAAGTTGTCGTTTATCCCTCAGCTCCTTACAAAGTTGTTCTGCCTGCTCCAGTACATTGTTGCTTCGCTGATCATCATGGTCTATAATGTCCCCCACTGGTTTCACACTACTACCCTTCTTTTTCTTTGACTTTTCCTTTTTCTTGCCCTTGTTAGTTTTCTTATCCAGAGTCATTTCCTCTGTTGTACTATCAGGCTCCAGAGCACTCTGGACAACATTTTCTGTTTCTTTACGCTGTTTTCCTAGATGAATATCATCAGGCAGGCCACTGTCTCTACTTACTCGACTATCTGAATCCATTTCCACTGAATTTTTCCGTCGTTGAGAAGAATTGTCAAAATTAACAGTTTTCTTACGTGACTTTGACTTGCTCTTTTCTTCACTGGTACATCTACGTTTCTGACCTGTCATGTCATTATCTATTGATAAATCCTGCTGTGGTTCTGCCATGTGACCTTGAAAATCACGGTTTGGTTGTTCAAAACGATTGTCTACTGAATATTCCTCTGTTGTATGGTCCCAGCTGTGGTCATGTCTATCCCTGTGATATCGGTTGGAATGGGAGCCTCTTCTCCAATACGGATCTTCTTCTTGGTTATCGTAACGATTTCTTTCGTTTGAATTGTCACGCCTGTTCCAACGGTTATGCGTTATCCCTTTAGATTGTTTATTCTTTCCACGTTGCCGTTCATGTGAGTTTCCACGTTGCCGTTCATGTGAGTTTCCACGTTGCCGGTCCTGTGAGTTTCCACGTTGCCGGTCCTGTGAGTTTCCATGCAACCGGTCACGTGAGTTTCCATGTTGCCAGTCCTGTGAGTTTCCATGTTGCCAGTCCTGTGAGTTTCCTCGTTGCCAGTCCTGTGAGTTTCCACGTTTCCAGTCCTGTGAGTTACGTGTTTGGTACCTGGGATAGAAAGACAACTCGTCTCTCTGTGAGTTCATGTTGTTTTCATCCCACCATGATGTGTCCCAGTTTGACTGACTATGGAAGCCATGATCAGACGGCTGGACAAATCCACCACTTTCCCAGTTCGCATTGTATTTATTTTCCCAGAATGCATGGTTTTGATCTCCCTCGTGAAAATCAGTGTTTCTTTCCCTTGGATAAAAACTTGGCATATCATGTGATGAAAATTTATCATCCAACTTTGGGCCTTTTCCTTTGAAAGATTTGCTTTTGCCCTTCCCTTTGATATAGGGCTGTGAGGAAGAGCGCTGGTGAGACTTTCCATGACGTGCTGACTTAAAATGACGAGATAACTCTGGGTCAGACAAGTTTCCCTCATTATCCAGTTGTACTGGCAACATGTCATCTCTGTAAAGAAATACATGTATATTTAAAAATCTTGATAGAGGTGGTGACATTAAAACTTCATCTATTTCATGTAAAAGGTTTATCATAATAGATACGATGAAAAATATTTGTGTTACTCCAAACATTTCAAATTCATACATACAGTTGAACAGCAAGTAATTCAATACTATATCTATCCTATATTTATTCCAGGGGATCAACACACAAATTTTGTCTGAAAGTCAAGTCATTGGTTTACTGCAGAACAATGAAAGAGCTTTCAATTGTAATTGTATTGAACATATTAAACGGACATGACTTGAATTTTTACCTGGACATAGCTTACTGTGGTATATAGATATATAGTTCTGTACTATTGCAGTATACCAGTGTCCAAATTCTCTTTTATTCCACATAAAAATGGAATACCTTTAAATTTCTTCAGATGATATGTCAAAAAATATTTTCTTTATCAGATTCAATGTCCAAATTATGTCTTCATATACACAATCTCTAATATGCACAATCTCTAATATGCACAATCTCTGATATGCACAATCTCTAATATACACAATCCCTAATATGCACAATCTTTAATATGCACAATCTCTAATATGCACAATCTCTAATATACACAATCTCTGATATCCACAATCTCTATGCACAATCTTTAATATGCACAATCTCTAATATGCACAATCTCTGATATGCACAATCCCTAATATGCACGATCTCTGATATGCACAATCTCTAATATGCACAATCTCTAATATACACAATCCCTAATATACACAATCCCTAATATGCACAATCTCTAATATGCACAATCTCTAATATACACAATCTCTGATATCCACAATCTCTATGCACAATCTTTAATATGCACAATCTCTAATATGCACAATCTCTAATATACACAATCCCTAATATGCACAATCTCTGATATGCACAATCTCTAATATGCACAATCTCTGATATGCACAATCCCTAATATGCACAATCTTACCTCAAAAATATCAAACAGGTAAAATCAAATTACACACTATCAAGAAATACTGATGGAGTAGAATTTTCAATTCTTTACACAAAACACATACATCAGTTTACAATTACCAAATAATGCTGGAAAGTTCAACACAATACTTGTCCATACTTACTGTACACGTTTGTTGAGCAGTGCCTCTTTCTGAAAGGTCATCGTTTCTTTCTCCTTCTGACGTCTTTGTCCTTCTGCTGCTCGCTTGTGCTTTTCCCCATTCAGATGTTTGCCATACTCTATTATATTTGGACAGGAGGCAAAACACAGTGTACAGTTGTGGGTAGAACCCCTGAAAAGACAAAATATTGTTTGTACAGAAAACAAGTATGGTAAGTATTCAAAGATGGCTATTCTAGCTGTCATATTGATTTTTGATCTTCTTGAATATAACATCACTGGTCATAATCATAATTACATATGTATTGAACAAAAAATTTCAAGATGGCTGCCATTGTAGTCAACATGGCTATTTAACTAACCAGAGTAATAACTTTCCTTTTATCTCACAATCAAATAAGAAGAAGGAAAGTATAGACAGCATCAACCCACAAGAACCTGTTATATGTATAAAAAAATATCAACACTACACCAAGAATTTTGCTACATTTTCTAGGGTAATTAAGATAAACAAAATAAAATATGATATGTATTGTTGAAAAGGACAGCTGACCTCAATTTTGATTGTGACAAAAAGTGATTAAAAATTGATTTAAAATCAGCCTTACTTTTTCTTCTTCTCAATATTGATGTGATGCATGAGTGACCAGGCATGATCCCGGAATTCCTGATGAAAAACAAAAGAGATATGGATCATTTTACCTATTAGAAATAAATTATCTTACTGTTTAAAAGGAAAACATGTGCCACGCTAATTCAAATATATAGACATGACCTATAATACTGGGTAAAGTAAATGACTGAGGAAAAAACCTCTTGTAAGATCTATGTCACTAACAAGAAAAACTCACTTGTTCTTGAGAATATGAGATCTTACACAGATCACACTCTAAATCATCCTTCTCGGGTTCTTCCTTGTGAAATGACTGAACAGCATCCGTATCCAGATCCATGACAGGTTACACGGTCAATAATTAATGATCTGGAAAGAACAGAAAATAAAATGTAGATAAACTGTTAGTCTGATGTTTGTGACACCGTAAGTAAAAATTAGATATATATTTATAAAATGTAATCAAGGAAATGGAGTTATTTAACGACTTTTGTTAAAACCTGGTCACAACATTTTTGTGGAAAGACTTGACCAATCAGAGCAACATATTGAGCTAATGAATTAAGAGCAAATTTTTTTTTAACAAATTTGAATTGAACCCAGTTTCTTGGATTATGTATACCAGTACATATATATATATGCTCATTTCAACAAACTATAACGTACAAGTAGAAGTTAATTGAGAACTGAATGACAACAAGCCAATTCCTATGGGAAACCATGGTGTGGACTGACTGGTACCAAAACCGACTAGTAAAAATTTATCATGATCAGCTTTTATATTTTACATTACAATGATATTAACTACAACAGGACCCCATATATACAACATTTTTAAAATGATTTAAGATGCCAATATTCTGATGATCTGGTTGCCCTAGAATTGTGTTATAATTACGGGTAAGTAACTATATAATGGTGTTATATCATTCTGAGTATTTTACAGTGAGGCAAGTGCTAATGCAAGCATGCAGCTTCTCTTGCGGATTGAATTGTCAGAGTATATACACAAGCTATACTGATGATGTATAGGCTTGCACAGCATTGTTGTACATTGTATGTTAACTCATCACTTCATTATAAATGATAAAGTTGATCTAGATCTATCACACATATACTCAGAGCTAGAGAAAAATGAACACCAGGTTCCATGAAGTGGCTTAATTGGTGCTTAAATTTCCATACACACAATATATGATACATCGTAGAGAGCAAGAGATGTATTTCTTTTTTAAAGTTTACAACTGTACCTGACACATGTACTCCTCTGAGAAGTAAAAAAGTCCAGTATTAATTTTTTTTTTCTGATGATGATTTTTTGAAAGGTTTGATGTTAGAAAGTAGATTAAATGCGAACAATCAATGTTGGCTCACCAATTTTCCCAAAACTGGCGTCAGAATATGTTTAACATGAAATAATTCAGTTCCATATATTATTATTATTTTTTCCCTGAATCACAGACAATCCCTCTAATTTTTCAAGCATCTTTTTAAAAAATAAAGTTTCGTCTTTCATTACAAAGTAAGGGTACAACATTTGGATATTGAGGAAAAATTATGTGAAAATGCTAAAGCTTCATTTAACGAACTTTAAACTGCACAACAACCAAAAAATGAAAATGTTCCAAAATTTCTAATCTTTTATTTTGTCATCTTCTAGTATTCAACTTTTTCTAAGACTTTAAGTTCTGATAGAGAAATTTTCGGTGATACTTTTCATGATTAAAAAAGAAGGGGTCTATGTGCCCAATTTTTTGCAATTTTCACTCAAATAGCCAGTTTTCCTAAAATCAATTAACTAACTGAATTATTTATTTTCAGGTGCTAAAAATCCGAGAAAGTGGTCACTAAGTTGGAATTCATGAATCTGAAATCTAAGATTTGTGGTGATAATTCCTGCAAAATCAAATTGAAATCTACCGGTGACTTCCATAGTTATACTCAAGAGAAGTACCTTAGCAACCAAAAAACTTTGAAATTGATGATGCTATTAACCGCATCATGCTGTCAACTACAGCATCAAAAAATGTAGTCCATGAGTGAAATTTCTTCAAAAAGTAAAATAAATTGCCTATTTTCAACTAATAAATACAACTAGAGATGACAAAATATATATATAAAGTCTGAGATATTGTGTTGGAATTCATTTTATAATGAATTATGCCTTACTTCTGGTTAAAAATCAGAGGAACACATTCCTAAAAGCATAATGCTTTTCACCATCATTATCATCCACGAGAAAGAATAACCTTGAACTTGGGATGTGTAGAATCCAGGTACTTGTATTGGTCGACAAGTTAATTAAGGCTAAACCCAGTTGTTGCCTGTAGTTAATTGGTCCGATTAATGTGGTGGGTTGAGTATAAATGTAGAAGAGATTGATGTTATACGTTTTACTTTGTATGCCATCTATTTTTATTATTACATAATCACAGTGTATAATAGTATGAGTTCATCAGATGACAGTCAGACATTTTGAAAGACTGAACCTTTTAGGATTGAAAATATATATGTGAACTGTTTACATGTATGCCTGACAAGATTTTTATGAATATAGGTGTGATCGACACGCAGATATATGCTAAAGTGTGTTAGTGTGATAAGTTTGTGTATAATTACGGTACATACAGATTAAAGATAGTGCAAAAAAATATGTAGATTGACCTAGGCAATCTTCTTCGTTTTCAAGACAGAACAACGTTATCGCACATTATAAAGACAGCCAAAATAAATGGACAGCTCGGCTTTTTGGAATTTTCTGGGTTTTTTTTACTTTCTTTTAAATCAGCTCCCCAAAAAAACCTATCACACAAATTATTTACTAACCTGTCGTGCTTCACTCAAATAGGTGAACCTTCCAACAAAAAATGAATTAATTCATATGATCTTCCTTCCTTATATCTGACATGATGCTCCCGTTGTATGTACAGATATCAATATCATTACCGTGCACCTGTTGAACATGTTTACACCTGTAATTTGTGTTTACCTGGATTTAGAAAATATATTTTGGTGACACATCGATGGTAAAAAATGCATTTACGAATTTTCCTTGTTGTTGGGTGTAAAATAGAGTGCCGATATGCGCTGTTATTCGTTGTGACTTACACAGGAGAGATGAAGACTATAATCGTTGATCTCTCTGCATGTTTTTGGCCCAGTCGGAAGCCATCTTGTTTAGGCGCATTCGACAAGTTGAGAAACCAATTCTAAACTTAAGGAGGTTTAAGCGTCGAATCTCTTGAAACGTTCTCTCAATGCATTTAATTGTTGGATAGATCTATCACACTTTAATTTTCCTATCAACCACATTTATTGATAACATTATGCCAAAGAACACTTTGAATAAATAAACAATTACTTTCAGCACTTTTGCACGTGTTTTGAGAAAAAAATATTGGGTTAAAAACAACGTTTGTTTTCAATTGTTTTGTTGCAATAGTCTATGTTTCTGAAATTCCATTCAGCTGCATTTTAAAATAATTACCATGATACTTGATGTTAATGAAACTAAATGGGGCCAAGTACACTGCCCATAATTTGCATGCTTATTAGATAATTTCATGATCTAAAATAACGGTAAAAATAAAACATAACTGTCTGTACTGTAACGTCCCTGGTCGATGAGAGAATTAAAACATTTTGTGATAACATTTCTTTGCATTTTATACGGCTTGTGAGTGTTGAAGCTATGTCACCAGTTTCATTATGATATCACTCATATATAGTTTAGAAACTAGGACTCAGGAAAAAATACTGATCAATGTACTTATTTAACCTTCGACCTTAAGGTGAAGACCTCAGTGACCTTATTTTAGTCGTGGCAGTTATGTCTAAAATTTATCCAAATATCTCTATTGGATCAATCTGCAATTGTTTGACATTTTGACTTTGAACTGAAGATCGCAGTCATAATTTGAGTACACTGCACACCACTTGTGGATGATGCAGTTATTGTTTTAGTTTCAACAACATGTCTTTGATATTTCAAAAGTTATGGTGTGTATTCGAAACTGTTGAAAGTATTGCTCTTAAGAAAGTCACAGTGACCTAAATTTAATGTACTGCACACTATCTGAAAATAAAGAGTCGAAATCAACAATGTATCTGTTTCCAGAGAAAGGATTTTAAAAAATCTTTGAGGATGACAATTTTGGGCTATCAGACTGTCCACTGGTAGCGATCAATTAGAAGAGGTGATTTTTCTACCCCACCGGCAAAGCCAAAAACGACCGATGTGTCAAATATTGTAATAAAGACATACATGTGAATATATAATTAATAAATTATTAATTGATAATTAATAAAAGAATAATGTAGATGTCTGTTTCGTCCTTCTAGGACTCGTAAGTGTTGTTAGGGTCCCGAAAGTGTTTGAATCCAGGCATGATCTTCGATACTTCAGGGGTTAAGATTACTTTCGCTCTCTGCATCCCTGGAACTTTTCATGGCAAAATTGAAGGTTCCATGTGCGACACAATGTGGAAATGACGAGAAGACTAGTTTGATGCTTCGATGTACATCAAACAAATCTTAAAGTCACCTAACGGTATATTGTAATGGTTTTGAAGTTGGGTGTCGCTTCTTTGTAATCTTCAAAAGGAGCGTATCAGCCTGTGATTGGTCAGTTGTGGTTAGTTAGATTGTGGATGTGGATATTGTGATTTTATGAAAGCCTTTCATAAGGTGCGACATTTACAACTCGTACATAAACTTGCGAAATATGGCATTGGTGGACAATTTTCGGCTTTTGATAGGAAGGAAACAGAGGGTCGTAATAAACGGCGAAAAGTCAAAGTGGAACCTAGTAATGAGCGGTATACCACAAGGATCTGTGTTGGGACAACTTTTATTTGTATTGTACATCAATGATATGGCGGATGTTACGAGTAAGGAACTTACCTCTTCGCAGATGACACAAAAGCTTTCAGAGCAATCAATAGCTAACAAGATTGTAAGAATCTGCAAAAAGATCATTACAACAATGGTCGGAAACCTAGCAACTATTTTTTTTCATCCCGATAAATGTAAAATGATGCGCATCGGAGGAAAACATGGTCAAATTCAAATACAAGCTGAAAAAAGATCCACAGCCATTACTATTTGTGGACTCGGCAAAGGATATCGGTGTTCATAAACATGTGATAAGGTTAATAAAGTGAATTCAGTCATGGGAGTAATGCGAAGAACAATGGAATATATGGACCCAAATATTTTTAAATTGTTGGACACAACTTTAGTTAGACCTCATTTAGATTATGCTGTCCAAGTCTGGAGCTCGAAAATGTCCAACGCCGGGCAACCATGCTGGTACTAGGCCTTTCATCATCTTACACGGAGCGTCTACAAAAACTACAGTTACCAACGTTAGCATATAGAAGATCACGTGATGTTATGATAGAGGTATTTTAGTATAAATTGTATAAAATGCTGACCTTCAAAGGATTGTTAATCCTGTACATATTTTCTGTACCTTGTCAGAATAAATTTATGTATCTAAAATAATTTCCGTGAAATATGACTCAGAAGTCGCAGACTTGTTTTCTGTCAACGTAGGGTCGTACACTTGCGGACATAACTACAAAAATATATAAAGAATTTTCAAAATTTAATTTAAGGAAATATTCGTTCACATAGAGAACCGTAGATGTTTGGAACAGAATTCCATTTAATGTTGTAAATGCAACGACAGTTAAACAATTTGAATATAATCTAGATGAACATTGGAAAAACCAGCCACAGAAGTATTGTTTTAAAGAAAAAAAAAAAAAAAGCTGTGAACATTATTTTAGTATAAATTGTATAAAGAGCTGACTATCAAAGGATTGTTAATCCTGTACATATTTTCTGTACCTTTTCAGAATAAATCTATGTATCTATATATTACTTTGTATAAATAACCAGGCAGTCTATTCACGATGTATGATAATTTTCATGGAAGTTAAGCTTAAACAGATGCTTGATCCCTAGCACTGTCTGGGAAGACAGGAACTAAGGGTACACATGAAAATGATGAATTGAATGTGTAGGTCCTACAAATTCTAATCGAATGAGTTTCAAATTACTTTTTACGATCAGAAAATGTTAGCGTGATACCTTAGACAAAATTTGACTTTTAGTTGTTCCCCTTGATTAGAGCCTAAAAAATTCACGACGTTTGAACACTTAGAGGTTTTGTGCTGTATGTGTAACAATCGCATTATTAGGGTTAGCAATGCACGAGATAACTCGTACTTGATGATGGAAAACATAGGCACTGATTACTATCCATTCATTGAAAATCTCAAGGCTATGAAGACGTGGATGAAATTTGATTGAACAGATAATAAGGAACGAACTTTCTTGATACTTCAACACATGCGTTTTAACGACGAACTGCTGATAAAACATGGAGACCATCTTTCATGAACAGGTTAAAACTGAGACATTGTAACACAGCGCATTCCTTTATAACTGTTTTGATAAACAACGCAATAATTTTTTTTTTGCTTGTAAATATGTTTTAGGTCTGAATTTCACGTCGACCGTTTGTGTCAACAGTTTACTGTTCGGGGTATACGTATTAGCGAATAAGATGCAGGTCCGTAGGTCAAGTAATCCTGTCGTCTGCAACCGTGCAATAACTTACAGAAGTTCATACCAGTAATTATAATTGTGAATATGTCATCGGTATTTACAAGCGGCTTCAGGAAATATCACTTTCTCAGGTTTATGAATCATAATATTTACCAGGAAACAGGTCGATAACTTTCATTGTATGCGATTCATCCAACTTTTTCACATAGCAAACATGATAATTTCGGTCATTGGATAGAATGAAAAGTTAATGATCAACGAGAGAAAGTAAAAAGATGAATGAAACACAATAGAAAACAAAAGCAGTATCAGTTTAACTTAATTGAAAATTTACTATTGTTTCAAATTTAATCAAATTGATATGTAAATTCCTTTTATTACAATGAAGGCGTACAATACCATTTCATTTGATAGACCAGTTTCGAGGGTAATACAGGTAATGTGTCCCTAGTGTAATCATTCAACTAAAATTGGGATATCCCTTGCTATCATATATTGGCATAATCAGAGACGTATATAACACATCTCTGGCATAATCACTTACAAGTGGTAAAGTCTGTGATCTCCTCTTCCTGAGAAATACAACCATTCTGAGAAAGGTGGTTGCAAATTCAAATATTTTATTGACTAAGCTACCACCACTCCTTACAGTTATCAAAGCATTGAGTAAAATGATAAAATTTTAATGGTAAACATATAAAAAAGGTAACATTTTGTTCTTCATTATTTGCCATGTTTTATATTGGATGTGACATGAACATTACCTGGAACACAGTGAGACTGAAGTTGTTTTGTCTAAGCTTTCCAAATAATTAAATCATGAATGATCACATAAATTTGGTTACCATAAATGGTAACATAAATTTGGATACCCTGACATGTTTTAATGATTTCCTGTCATGTTTTATTATGTGCCATCACTAAATTCTGAAATATTAGTTGCCATAGAAAAAATTATAAAATATTGCATTAATACATGCGTCTGGGATTTTCATGTCATAAATGATAGTTAACTTCTTACAAACTGATATGATTATTAAGTAAGCACATACAGGTTATTGATTTGTTTTATTAGTGCTGTCCACTTATTAAAATAAATTCACAAGAGTTGATTTAGGAAGGGAAGTAACTCTGGCAGCAAGTATTCAGTCATTTTTAGGTCATATGACTGAATGGTCTGATGACCTATTGTGATTGCCTTTTGTCCGGCGGCATCGTTCGTCGTAAATATTTTCAACTTCTTCTCAAGTTCTACATGTCTCATTGAGCTGAAACTATCTGAAATGATCGTGACATGATCCTGACCAAAGTTTGTTAATTTCGGGTTTTGAAATTCCAACATGGCCGCCATCTGGAAAACACATTTTCAACTTCTTCTCAAGTTCAAAATTTGAAATCTTATATTTTATGTCAGATGACCGTTAAGGCCCATGGGCCTCTGGTCGAAAATGTTGCAGCCATCCAACCAATGATTTGTTAATGGTAGAATCTTGGACCATGGATGGTTTTCTTTGATAAATTGTGTGTTAATGCAGTATGATTTACTTTTTTGACATCACCTTGTAACTTTACCATTACAGCAAGAGGGTTCGCTATGTGCCCAGCACTGCCTGAATGCCTTACTACAAGGCCAGTACTTCAGTCCAGTAGATCTGGCTGACCTAGCTAAGCAACTTGATGAGAGTGAACGAGAACAAATGGCCATCGCTGGAGAACAATCAGAAGAATACAAAAAATTCCTCAAGGTAAATATTGGGGTAAAAAATAGCTTGAATTCTTATTGTTGCAAATAACATAAACAAATTTTAATATACTTTCTTTTTTTCTTGCAGGAGCCATCCAGCAACTTAGACGACAGTGGATTCTTCTCCATTCAGGTGATTGACCGTGCCTTGTCTGTTTGGGGACTTGGACTTATTCTATATAACTCCCCTGATCCTATTGCTATTGCTGCCAGGAGCAACCCTGTGTAAGTGCACACAAAAATACAAATAGTTTCCATCGAGATGCCATTATCAAAGACCTGTATCATCTTTAATACAATTTGTAGTTGCTTATAAAATTTAACATATATCATTCTAAATACGACTGTTGGAAGATTCTGGAAATACTTATAGTTATTTTAGTTTTCCAGATGGTGTTCTACATTTGTACTTTCAGCAAAATATAAAATCACAATGACAGTAAAACATATATGAATGCATTTTAATGTCTTAAAATAGAATTGAGTGAATATCTTTGCAATTCCAATGGTAATCATTATAGTGTAATTATCTGTTGACAGTTTCACTGACTACCACTCCATTTTATAATGACCGTAATTTAAGTGATTATTAAATATGTTCATAAAATTTGCTGAATTGAAACATCCTTTCTGACAATTATCAGTAGCTGTGTTACTCTCTGCCAAAGCAAGCTGCCAACCTCATGAACTTATAGTCATTTACAGATAAAATGTTATAATCAGCTGTAGAGATGTTTGTACAAATGTAGCTTGTGAGGAAAACACAAGGAGACAAAAAAGTTTAATGAGCTTGAAATATATACATCAAGTACATTGGATTTGTATTTGAAGAGTTGGGGAGCACTCCTTCAGGATTCATTGAAACATCTAGATATTTGGTTTATAATTATGACTTGTTGAACACAAATAATCTGCAGGGATAATACAGAATTGTGGTTCAAACTCATCTGTTAACATATTTTTCAGCAAAAATAATTTGTTTTGGTGGCTTTTGCCATGAACACAAGTTGATTATTTTGACATTAGACAGAATATCCTAAATAGTTAATCTCCTTAAAAGAAAAAGAAAGACAGAAAGAAAGTAATTGTAAAAACAAACACAATTGCAAGTAAGTTTCCTAAATAGTGTAAGATTGATATGATCTTTATCAGTTTTTTTGTTTTGTTTTTGTTTACAGAGCAGAGAAAGCCTATATTTGTAATTTTCGTGGTCATTGGTTGACCATTAGGAAGATTGGAAATCAATGGTTTAACCTGAATTCCTTGCTGACCGGTCCTGAGCTCATATCTAACACATACCTGTCGCTGTTTCTCAAGCAACTCCTAGAAGAAGGTCTGTGTACATATAATCCTAAGATGATTAATTCAACTGACATAAAGTAAAATTTTACATTTCGTTGTTATTACCCGACTCTATATCAATGTAATCATAGCATTTTCAATTGTCTCCTTATTCTAGACATGTTAAACACACATTCAGATGCACAGGTATATTAATTTATCAGTTTGAATTGCCAATTCATCTTATAGTTTTGAATTAATCAGGTAACAAATTAGTTGTTTCATGGCTTTAATATCACTCAGTATTGAAACTTACTTTCCCCACAGTGTTGGGGCCTCGGAAAACGGTTCATGGTGTTTGTTCAAATCATCTCAGGGAAACAGGGTTGATTGTTGACTGATAAGGCAGGAAACTACTATGTATTGTCGTATATCCTTTCTGTATTGCACTAAATGTTATAATCACTAGGGATGATATAAGATTTCTCTTAAATATTATCATAAAAATCTTTAAATAAGGGAATAAAAAATTGTGTGGAGAAAACATTTCATGGAAAGTCATTTCTGCATTATATTTGTCAGTGCAATAAGTATAAATATATTGGTTGCTATTTTCCCTAACAGGTTATTCTATATTCATTGTGGGAGGTAATTTGCCAGAGTGTGAAGCTGATATGTTGCTAAAAATAGCTCCAGTTGTACAACAAGTCAAGCCAAAGTTGATCAACGAGAACCTGTCTGTGTCCAGTAATCAGCCTGCGGAGGAAGAGGAAGATCAACAGCTACAGAAGGTGTTGGCAGAGAGTCGACAGGCAGATGAACACGATGACCAGGCATTACAGAAAGCTTTGCAGCTAAGCATGGAGGGTGGGTTACTGGTGGTAAATCAAAACTTACTTTCAAGTGAATCATGATTCCACTGCAATATATTTTTGTTAATTTTAATGTTTTGATTGAAATATGAAATCTGTCTGTTGTTGTGAAAATGAACAAAAAAATCGCAAGTTTATTTTAGATTATGGTACATCTGTATGGCACAACATGACTTAACTTAAAGTTATCGGAAATCGTATTTTGATCTATCTGTGTATGTATAATATCATGTAGTTGGATTTTCTGATGTACCCACTGTTACCCATTGATCTCTACTATTCTCAGGCTACACTTGGGAACCTGTCCCAGGGTCCTCTGCTGCCTCTTCAACCCAGGGTGCTGCTTCTGGATCTGATACCAAAAAATCAGCATCCCCTCCACCTGAAAGTCCGGACCCTGAAAATGTGCGGCAGAAGCGTTTGGCCTACCTCAGCAGATTAGAGTCATCGAAATCATGTGATAAAGCTGAACAAAACTCTCAAGAGTCAGAATCATCAAACAAAAAACTAATTTCTGAATCAGAGAAGACCACAGCAAAGGAATTGTGTAACTCTGAACATGAAGAGTCCACTACAGATCAGGAGAATGATACAGGTAAGGAACCATTTTATCCCATAGCTATGTATGTTTCACCACTGATGTGGCATGTGATAAACTTTGTAGCAGTGTGTTATTGTTTTTGATTACACACTGCAGTGTGTAAAGCCTCTGATCGTCGTCTCCAACCTCTAACAATTCTGATTGGTTAACCTATGAACTTTGACATCGGACTACTTACTTAACAAGTCTTTGGTTATTGCCTGTCAATAAAAAACCATCAACATGACCACCAATCATGAGCAAATTGTCAGTATTTATTCCTACAACGACAGAGAAAGCCAATTAATGTAGTGTTAACATTTACAAAGAAAGGGAAATAGTCTCCCTTTGTCAGTATCTATGGTATGAATTCGCACCGTCGATTTGCTTCCTAATCAGATTTTTAAAATGGATGCACACTGATCATTCAGATTAAGCTTAAACATTGGCCTTAAAGACAAATGAGAAACAGGGAAGCCTTTGACCAACTGTTCAGGGTGGAAATATTGTACTTAGTTGAGAAGTTGCTGTTAAGAATTCATTGTCTCAAAATCTCTTTGAGTCAAAATAATTTTGAAGTCCAGATTTGTTTCCTTCTTTGTGTTTGTAATTTTAGTTCAGTTGACGCAAATTTATTTAGTCAACATTTTATTTGATTTGTAGTGATTTTTCAGACTTCGATTGTAAAGCAAGTGAAAAGTCAATGGTTGTCTTGAAAGTAATTTTTGTCTAAACATCAGCATGTCATCTAAAGAGTTTGATCAATAGAAATTCACTTACGCATAATAGATTGCTAAATATACAGCATATCAGTCCATAATATGCACAGCAGTTGACCTGTAATGAATAATTACTAGTTTTTTAATCAAAAGTTGATAGTTGGCTTCTTAATCAGTGTCACTGCACTGTAGCTGTGACTTACCTGTATGTTTAGTTGGTTTCTTAATGAGTGTCACTGCACTGTAGCTGTGACTTACCTGTATGTTTAACAAGCTGATCATGTTTTATAATCAGCATGATAAACTAGAAATCCTTAGGGAGCAATAAAACTGAGTGTTTTTTCCAGAGATGTTGTACAGTAACATGTACAGGTTGACATAGTAAAAGATTTTCAGTGCGGCTAATGTCATATGATTATTCTAGTAAAGTCGTTTTAACATGATCTGTAACATCAAACATTGCTTCTAGCAGCGTATCAAAAGCAAATTTTTAGTTTGGTTTTACGTTCTGTAAAATACATTACCTATATAAGGGGAGTGTACACATGTGAGATGGCACAAAGTGAGTATTTGTCTAATGATTTCATTACATGTTTTATTAATTGGATAAACAAACTATAAAAAGAGACAGTAGAAATCAATATGTTTCTGTTTATTAACAGCCCTTTCAAATAACAGATTAATTTATGCTGTTTGAAGCAGAGAGTGCTGTGCTATTGTAGCATGTACTTCATTCTACAGTAAACAATGTCAGGTAACTGATATCATGAACCTTATTTGTACACTTTGTTTAAGTCAAATTCAGATAAGTCAAAATATTTTTCATGGTTTTTTGAATTTCAAGTGGAGCCCAATAAGGGAAATTTTAAAATCCTTCTCTTTCTGTAGGAATGATTGGGTTTTGCCCAAATTTGGTCTGAAGCATTCTAAGGGGAAAGGGAATTACTTCTGTAAAAAAGGTGGGTCTTGGCCCCCTGGGGAGGGAGGGGCGCAGCCCAATATGGGTAATAGAGCAAATCCTACTCCTCCTGTAGGAATGATAAGATTTTGCCCCATATTTGGTCTGAAGCATTCTTAGGGGAATGGAAATCAACTTTGTGTACACTGTGTGTCCGGACACCATGGAGCAATAGAGTTGGGGCCCAATAGAGAAAAATAACAAATTCTACAAAATCCTGCTGTTCCTGTAGGAATGATTGGATTTTAACCAAGTCATCTAGAATATATAACAGCCATTCCTTCATTAAAAACTGTATTTTGTTGTGTGGTGGTGCAACTCAAAGAATTTAGTGGCCACATCGGAAGAATTTTACTCTGTGCATTTTTGCTATTTAAAAGTTATTGGATAAATGCAAGTGATGGCTGTTCATCATGTTAATCTCACTGAAGTGAGATAAACATGATAAGCAACTGTCACTTATGGTGAACCTCTGTGACTAAACATGTTCACAGCATTTACAGGTAATCAAAATGTGAGGAAATTCTATGTGAGAACTGGGTAAGAATTCCTGAAGTAATGATTGAAGTGTATCTTTGTCAGGAGAGGTTAATTCCATCTGTACAGTATATCTTTAACTTTCTGTATGTACTTATTTGACAGGAGAAATGAGTGAAGAGGAGATGTTACAGAAAGCGATATCCATGTCTATGCAGACTGGAGATAAATGACACACGCCCTGTGTGTATCATGTGTTCAGAATTACACTTTGGTCAAATCTGGACTGGTCAACCTCAGTTGGTACTGAGAGGTCCAGCATTAGATACCTGGAACTGCCTCCTGCAAATTCATTGACATCATCTAAAAAATGCACCAACGACATCCTTTGTCCAAATGACCAACAAATGGTATTGTTGCAAGAGAAGCCTCCCAGAATCTGTGATCATCAGCATTAAGGCAGTGACATCCGGTTTTCTGTGATTTTCTAATTGACAGTAAGGCAGGGAGACCTGAATTCTTTGATGAAGCTCTGCTTTGTGCCAGGACATGATGAATACTCCCAGATGAGACATTAGTGAAAGTCATAATTAACATTTTAAGTGCTGAAGACTGACTAAATTTCATTATTATGTTTACACACTGTCTCAATTAATAATGATGAGTCTTATGGAATGTAAGGATAAATAGAGAAGAATTTCACCCAATGTACTACACATATCAGAAACTTTATGACGATTACATGACTTAGAGACATAATCATGTGTTATGAAACTTTTGAAATCAGATTTCACCGCTCAACATTTATATATATATATATCTTCTTGATAGCCTTGGAATATCTCTTGTATGTCTTAATAAAACTAAGGCACAATGTTCTACAGATGATACAAGTTTTCCATAATCCTGGAAAAATTACATACTTGCAATGAGCCTTAACTTTGTCATCAAGGATGAAGAGAATTGTACACCAAGAACGCAAATCTACAATTTTTTTTGTATTGTTCGAGAGCAAGTCTGATGGTCATGTATGTCTTAGCTTGAGCAAAAACAAACAGAATGTATCATTTTTTGCGAAAAGTTTAATAAGACACTTAAAAGTTATATATTATGTGTGGTATTACATTCTTTAGCCTTTATCTAGTATTCATATATCAACTTCTTCAGAACTAGGAAGTACAAGATGAAGATATTTGTGTGGCAACACTCGTGGAAACAGCCTAACTATAACTAGTTCATGAAAATATTAATTACCTTGAGTTATGTTCAAGATCAGAGTTCAAATGATTTGACTTATTGTGTTTACAACAAAAATCGTGTCTTTAACTCAAAGAACTGCTGCATAAAAGGCGTAAACTGAGAACATTTATCTGGCAATTTGTTTGTATTTACCACTGGAAGAGCTGGTAAGGGTTGTAAAGAGACTTGTTTTTCAAGATAGCAATATCAAATTTGTTTTTTGGTAAATGTTCAAACTATTTTTTTCTGGAGAGATAATGGCCTATAACTGTAAGATTGAAGCAACAGCTTGCTGCTATAGAATGTTACACAGTTCATTCACAGAATTGCCCTTGACCTATATTCCAGGTCATAGTTTTAAAATGTGTGTATCACTCAGAAGAAAAAATAATGATTGGAATGACATAGAGCTGTGTATTTGTCTTGTTGATGTGATTTGCTACAAAGTTTGAGAGAGGAAATACCTTTGATGTTTATTCAATATTTTATTATGATTCTCTCGGACAAGATGTATGATATATGTTTGTAGCTAAAGTTCTTTGTTTTGTTGGCATGTAAACAAATAAGTTTGTGTAAGTAAATGGCACCTTGACCCACTTTGAAGGTCATTGATGCGAGATTTGTGAATAGGAGAGTATTGCAGACCCACTAGGCCTCTTGGTTGTGGAGGTAAAAGAGTAATTTTATGATTTAAAGGATATATTTGGTGATAAAATGATTGTGTACTTGTAACTTGATAGTAAACTGTCATGTGATGAAGCATGAATTACTTACCGTCCAATAATATAACCACTGGTAAACAACATATTGTGTGAGAGATGATGACAAAGATACATACATGGTAGATACAAATGTATGTATTAGAGATATTATCATCAATCTTCAAGTTGTCTCACTTTCACTATTGAGGATATTTCATCATACACTTATTGAAATACTGGCATTTGATGGCAAATCTAATAAAACCATGATAAAATTCAAAACTGTGATTTTTGGGGAATTTTATTCAGTGTTGTTAATCATTAAACATTTCAGTGTAACTTTTATGAACTACCAAAGTCTTCTGTGTGTGCTGTATAACAGAAGAGAGATTCAGACCCTCTGGTCTCTTGTTTGTGTGGTGTGAAGAAACAAGATAACAATGCTGCTGAAACAGGTTTACACTTTATACTGGCAAACAATCAATGTGATGTCATTCAAATTTATCAGAACAATTTCCTGTTACAGTTTCCAAGTGATATGATCAAATAAACCAGGAAGACTCATTATTATTGTTATCTGAACAAGTTGCTGTTAAGACCTACTATTTGTGAACTAACTTTAGCAGGATGACTCTTAATTATAGCTATCTGAACAACTTCCTGCTAATACTTACCATTGGTTAACCAACTAAAACAGGATGGCATTATAATAAAGTGTAACTGAACATCTTCCTGTAAACATCTGCTGGTTGTTAAACAACTACATGTATGAAAGGATCATAGCAACTTCTTGTTGATGCCGGACAGTTTCCAACTTTCACGAGAATTACTTTATCACAGATAACTAAAACTTTTTATATCTTTTTTTAAAATAATGACAGTCATGTACAAAATTCAGCTCCTAAACGCCCCGTTATATTTCCTGGTAAGGTGTCTTTATCTACACCACGAGGCTGGAGGAGAACATTATAGGTTTGAGGATTGTCCGGCGTGGGAGAGGTTGTCCATAGTTTATAGCCCAATCACGTGGCTTGTTCTTCTCATTCCTTTCTCTCATCTCCTTAACAAGTTGGCGGAGACCTCTCTCGCGATCCTCAACAGACACACGCGGGGTTTTGTGTTTGTTTGTAACTTCTTGTTCGGTTTCAAAAGACCTACGTTCCTGTTTTACGCGAGTAGGTGGACGAAGTCCCTGACTGTAACCCAGCATCTCTTGGTAGTTAGGGAGTGACGAGTAGGATCGTGACGTCATCTGGTAGCCAATACTTGTGTAGGTTTTTGGCAAAAAACATGGAAAGTTTGTACACCTTGTTTTTGATATTCCGAATCTACACTCATCACATTTTAACACAGGAATTACTAACTCTTCTGATTCCGATTGAGAAATCGGCGTCTGTGGTTCATCACTTACCGGATCCTGATTTTGAATTGGTGGTAACTTCCGGTCAACTTTGATCAACGTTAGTTCTTGCTCTATGGCACGCCTCTCCTTCACCATTTGTCTCTCTCTTTTAGCAAAGCTTGTTTTCATAGAATTGAGCTGGCTGTCTAGGTTTGTTCTAGCTACTTTGTTGATTTGTTTGAATTTGTTTACAGCCGCATGCTTCCGTTTCGTAAGGTTATACTTCCGGTCCATTTCTTCCCAAATCTTGTCCTTTGAAATACGTTTTCCCTTCGAACGGAAGGACAGACTGTAACAAACAAAAATAAAGGGGGTGACATTTACATCGCTAAAATACACACATTAAATCCCATATATAACTGTCATACTTTAAATCTACAAAGGTTAGCATGGCTGTGTCAGGTTTCCCACGAAACCGGCTGGCTGTATCTGCTGTTTACGTCACTGAAGATAAATGGGTGACGTTTCAGTCTTTCACAATTTCGCGCTAAAACGAAATGGCGATACTTACGTTTTACCACTCGAAACTGAGTCTACTGAAGATCGCCGGGAGGAATTAATTACATCCATGATGAAGGGTCTATCAGTTCGTGAGAGAATATCTGTTCGTGAGAGAGCCGCGTGCACAGATGATTGTCTGTCCTCCAACTGCCAAGATAGCGTCTTATATACTGGTATATCTAATAGTTATAACCGATTATCTACCTGGCGTGACATTACATTGTACGGAAACAAAACCCCCAACAACTTCTAATTAAACCAATATCTTTGCTCTTAAAAAACGGTCGGTGAGCCTTCAACCTTCATACATTGTGTGAAATCAACTGCGTTTGACGCGCGAGAAACTAGACAAAGCCATACATTCATGCAGTATAAATATATATAAGGCTTAGTGTTGGACAATTTTCTCTAGGTGTAGATTCAATCTTATCGATATTCCTCCTATTTGTAGTGTTAGGTTGACTAAGTAATGACAATGGTGACGCTTATTACACGCCAACAATTACGCCGCTGTGCTATATAATTGCCGGTAAACATTACTTCTTAAAACCCAAATATATATCTCTATAGTGCATGTCAGTGTGGGCAGTGTAATTAAAGAACGTGGGGTGATCTTAATATGTTTACAACATATACTTAATATGTTTTAAACTATTTCTTATTAGATTTAGTCACTAAATATGTTTCAATACAATTATACCGTTATAACTATACATATTATGTAATGGATTTCCGCGGATTATTCCCAGTTACTGCCAATTCTACTGTATACGCTCTGGCCGGTGATTCATAGATATCTTCCTAAAAAATAGGACTTTACCTCATCTTTAACATGACATGTATAAAACATGGAACTGTTTTTTTTGTTTTTTTTTTTAAATCCTAGCGTATACTTGACACATAGAAAATAGGACAAACGTTTAATGCCAGAAGCCAAGCAAATACATGTACGTCGTATTTAAGGGCAAAAAACTATCACAAGTCATGCTCATTTCTAATTTTTTAAATTTGAGACAGAATGTCTGGTGTCCATCCCATGTTCAACTGGGTTTGAGGATCCCTTAATTTTCCTAAGAAATTAAAATCTAAAATCATACCTTGTCTATGAGTATGGGGTTTTAAACAATTCTTAAATAAGTTATAAATTATTATTTTCCAATTAAGTGGATTTTTTCGAAAACATCATCGAACACAAATACTTCCGTAATAATTAAGATGGAGTTTATTTCCAACACATCATAAACTATAGCTATATTTTTGCAAGTTTAGCAACAAAACACATACAAACAAACAAAAGCCAAAAGACCACGTGAAACAAACACCTTAACACTGACAGAAACTGTTTTACAACTTGACTTATATTCTTGTATGCTGCGAACCATGAGATATATCTTAAAAGGGAAACAAACATATATTCTCAAATAATTCAAAGGGTTGGTTTTTTTAAATCACAATTAGGTTGATTGCATCCATTGATCGTTATATTATAAATTAGTGGTACAGAAACCTGTAAAGGTGGTAGAGGACAACGCTGAGCAGCAGAACACTCAACCTTAAAATCCCCCTTTGACAATAAAGATGAAATTGCCAAAATGGTAAGAAATATAAACAAATTAAGTTGCAAGGTTTTAAAGAAGCTCCCTCTCAAGCCCAATATCACGTCCTTATTGTCTCTCCATTTAAATTTCCGCCAGAACTCAACCAAGGACCACTTCAAGGTATTCGAACAAACCTCTATATCGGCAGCAGTTATGAACTTGAAATTGTAAAGTGTGGTGTTGGTTCGATTTAAAAATCGACATTCACTTTCAAAATTCTATCAAATTATTGTTCTATTACTTCAAAAAATTGTAAATGCTGTGGTTTATACACGATATGTATCTTATGATCGAGTTTATCAACACCGGATCGAGTATAGTTATTATACAAGTGCGTCCGAAGTAGATCCCGAGTCAGTCGTGACACAGCACAGCGATACTAGTGCGTCCGGAGTAGATCCCTGGTCAGTCCTGGCCAAGCAGATCGATAATAGTGCGTCCGGATTAGATCCCGAGTCAGTCCTGACAGCACAGCAAGATCTCTTATCATTTTCGTTCGAATTTTGATTTTAAAAACCGAGAGAGAGAGAGAGAGAGAGAGAGAGAGAGAGAGAGAGAGAGAGAGAGAGAGAGAGAGAGAGAGAGAGAGAGAGAGAGAGAGAGAGAGAGAGAGAGAGAGAGAGAGAGAGAGAGAGAGAGAGAGAGAGAGAGAGAGAGAGAGAGAGAGAGAGAGAGAGAGAGAGAGAGAGAGAGAGAGAGAGAGAGAGAGAGAGAGAGAGAGAGAGAGAGAGAGAGAGAGAGAGAGAGAGAGAGAGGGAGAGAGAGAGAGAGAGAGAGTCACATTCAATCAAATCCCTATCTTACTTTTTTTTGCAATTAAGAGATATCATCATCTTAATTGCTTAATTGCTGATCGCCATATATGAGTAAATCTAATTCAATTCTCAAACATTGGTTGTAACTGTCTTATTAATAGATTTCGATTATGAATGTATGTATAGGGGGACAAACACAAAAATAGTAGTAAAAGTCTTCAAATGGATTGCTGCATCTACATTCAGCTGTATTACCTCTTGTTCTAAAAGAAATCGTAATTAAGAGATCTGGCAGGATTTCTCAAACGGAAATGAAGTATGTTTAAATTACTTAAATCTCATACCTAAAAGCATCTGTCATGTATTATTTCTGTCTTACTGATAATTGATTTAAATGTATTGAGAGAAGGAGAGTTCCTTATAGAAATATCTATGTCATACCTTGAGAAAACAAAGTAACTATTCGCTTGGTTTTTTTTTCTATAAGTGTACGTTAAATGTTGTACGACAGATAACGTGCTTTACACTGTAAGATGACGCCTGCAATATTTGTTTCACATTTTCTATGAATGATGTATAATCGTTACAAAAGCTCATCTTGGAATCAAACAATGATTACTGGTTAGTCATATATCAGTCAATGAAAAATAAACAAGTTCATTGTAACATTTTACTGCGTTGCGATGATAAAACCTTGAAAAAATGTGAAAAGGTAATAGGTAAGTCCGCTTTCCTCGATATTCCAATCACCAGCAAATTAAAATCAAATTAATCTAGTCCGTGTTGTTTATTTACATAATAAGTAGATCTTGATCAAGCATCAATCGAAAATATCGGGAAAATCCAATTTGCATATTTAAATAACTCATTTAAATATGTTGTCAAATTTGGACATAGTGACATTTAAAGGCCCCCTTTTTTAAAGCAAAGACATGCCCACCATCCAAGCTATTATGCTCTGGTGTTGCGAGTCTCTTTCACATACGTTCTATATACGTTACCTATCCCGTGATACCTAATGATAGCATGTAACAATAATAAAAATAAAATCAGTTAAACGGAGGTGAAGACCGAAATTCATTACCACAATTTACAAAATGCAATGCCCGACATTAGTTCACTGTCTGATTTCATTGTTATTCTGAAATGAGTGCATTTGAAATGAATAGATTTGAAACACCGCGATTAAGATTTGTCATGTTGTATATATACAGAATACAAGAGCGTGTTAAACACGTCAAGAAGAAAACAAGTGTGATTTTCCTGTCAAGCATGGGTTGTCTCATGAACAAAGCTCCCTGAAGGAGTGCTCCGCTTGTGCCCATTCCTAATCGCTTCTATAAATGCGGTCGTGCAATGTGCGGTACGGTATACTGAGGTTTTGTACACCGTTAGGGTTTCTTGTGACCACAAGGTAACCGTGTCTTCATTTTATGGTATTTATGAATGGATTTCCGTAATTGTCTGCGCAAAAAGTATATCTTTATGAAAATGCTTGATTACAAAAGGTTCTGTCTTTAATTCGTTTATTTAACTTTTTTTCAATTGTTGTAAATTGCATCCTGTCGATATAATGTATGATCTAGGGCCCCTTAGTATAAATATCAAGGTTATATAATTCAGATTGGTCTATATAGACATGTTTGATATAACCTCGAGAGATAGGTGATCATGACAGGTACTTGTATTCAGCTAATACATATAGACTTCTCGGACAGTAGAAGAAAGTCGGTATGTATCCAATGTTGAACAAAATATAATAACGCAATTTATATCAAATGATATCTTATGTTGAGAGAGAGAGAGAGAGAGAGAGAGAGAGAGAGAGAGAGAGAGAGAGAGAGAGAGAGAGAGAGAGAGAGAGAGAGAGAGAGAGAGAGAGAGAGAGAGAGAGAGAGAGGGTCAGATCTATATTTTAGGTGGTAAGCGTCCTCGTTCCCGTCGTTTACTAGAGAAAGAATTAATGGACAATGAAGATCCGATGAGATTGCGGAAGAGTTTGCAATCTCTGAAACACTTGCACATGCAACACTTCCTCGTAACACAATAAAACAATATAAATATCTCCTCATTGAGTCATGAACTAGCAATAATGAATCGGAGATGTTAATGTTAGAGACATTGAGCTGAACATTAAACCGCCCAAAATGAATAAATCTCACACTAGTCATTATTGACAAAACGATCAACATAGTTATCCTAAATTGGCAATCTTTGAGAAAAAAATCCAAATTGTTCTTCATCTGTATGTAACAACATTACTTACGTTTTCCTATTTTCAAAAGGCCTCGGTCGACTTCAGTTTCCGCACCCTGGCGTCTCTTTTGTTTCTAGACCACCATATATAGAATTGGGAGGATGACACCAACTGGTCTTTGCAGACATACGGCGTGCGATATATAGGCTTGTCAATCGTTTATGCGTTTTATATATACATCGAGTATGTATACAAATCAACGATGTTTATTGTGAAGGTGTTTATATATATATATTATAGGCATAACATGGATGTAGGTATATATATACTTACTTCACACCACACGGTATGCTTGTAATAGACACCGTTTATCTATAAACAGAACCACCCATGTACAAACAATGTCATGCTATGTTGATATAATTTCCTAATCAGTAAGCAGGTGGAATAGTCACCATTATTATTCAGTCTAACTTTACACGTACAACAAAGGCGTAGAGTACTCATGGTCCAAACATTTCAGCTGATAAATCGGACGATCTAT